ACTAATTGCACGACAAGTTCGTACAATTTTGTCCTTGAGATCCTCAACGCTAAGATCTTAGCTGAGATCTTATGTCATATTACGTACGGTCACACGTTGATATACTTTTTTATATATCCGCGTATGCTCTTGCGCAATGTGACTCCAACATATCTATGTATGAACCTTACATGTCAAAAAAGTCTGGATGAAGACGCTAAAACAGGTACATGTTGATTTTACTTTGATTTTACTACCACTAATTTTACTTTGATCATTCTACATATGTATAATATGTATTATAATTCTATTTATAGTTTTTAACTTGGCTGTATGTATATTTTGTATACATATTTTGAATGGGACTTTGGTTCGCGCGGCCGATCTACGCTACAGCCACCTATACGCCGGTAAGTCACTTACAAGTGCTGTCGGTAACTCGTCTTAGAGGGTAAAAGACTGGTTCACGTACTAAAACTCACCCTGTATAGTTTTCTTTACAAACCTGATTGATCTTTCGAATATCTTTTACATTTCCCATTTTACTTGTCGCGTCTCCTAATTCTGTCATCTTTTTGAAGTACCATTCTTCATAGATGGCTCGATGTAATTTTGCTATTTGATCTAAATAGTAACATTGTTTAGCTAACAATACGATACATAAGGAGAAATATAGAAATAACTAACCAGAGTCTTCGAGCACTGCATTAACCATTTGTCGTACGATATTTCCCAGATTTTCAACGGAAACGCTTTTTATTTTCATTTTGACAAGATTGCAGCAACGCTTCTAACTTATATCTTAATTTTTCATAAGAATTTTTATGATATATGGAATACTATAAATTTAAAGATTCAATGTCACATTAATTTGACAGTTGGAATGCCGTGTGCATTCTTCAAATGTTCCGTAAAATAGATAGCATGTGCTTAGCATATTTTCATCAATTTTTTAATAAAAATAATTGATGTGTCCAACTTAAAATTACAATGAAGCTTTAACACATACATATCCAATTTTTACTACTATATTTTCCAGTTTTTTAAATAAACTTGTGTAAATTATTCTACGTATTTTTACCTTCTTTTTCTTTAAATATTTATATATGGGGTGAAAAAGAAAGTGAGATGTACAATAATAATTTATTTATAAATTTATAAATTTAAATATTTATAAATTTATATTTATATTCAGTGAATATACATACAAACCACATTCGTGCGCTTCCACAAAAACATGGATACTATAGATATTTCTATGCTTACTAAGGAAATAAAACTGTACATACATTTATAGGTGCAATAGAATATTAAAACAATGGATCAACAGATGTTTGGATATTTGTGTTACTTCTTTTTGACGTCTCCTAAAATGGTAAATGGATTTATTACGACCTAACGGAGTGCTTATACAAGAGACACATTACTTAACTTTTAGAACTATAAAATAAAAGATTCGAGGCACATATGCAAATCCACAGATATTAAAGTTTCTTGGCACAATCGCAAAACATCAAATCGGCAAATTTCTTCGAGTATTCTTTCAAAATAAATCCGGAAAAAGAAAATAATTAAAAATCAAATCAAATCTCTTCTATCGAGCCCGATTTAGAGGTTTTAATATTTAATTTCACAAAAATATATATAATCTAACATGTATTAATTTCTATCAGTCTAATTTTTTTTACAGAAAAATATGTGATATTAAACAATCAATTTGACAAGGCACATATTACATATTATACATGTGTGTCATTTTTCAGGAGCATGTAAATATGATCCCGCCATGACTCCATTATATCGTGTTAGTTTTAATCCAGCCAATGAATTCGGTGACGTTCGTGTATACACCAGGATAGTTGGGTTCGCCGCACTTGTTGCCGAACGAGACAATGCCAATCTGCGTCCACTGACCCTTGATTTGCAGCATCAGCGGCCCACCCGAATCGCCCTGGCACGCGTCCTTGCCACCCCTGATGTAGCCGGCGCACAAAAATTTGCTGTCGATCTCTTGCCAGTAAGACGTGTTGCAATCCTCATTTCTCCACACAGGCAGGACCGCCTGTCGTTGAACGGTGCTCTCTTTTCCGCCTGTGATATCACATGATTAAGTATATGTAAATGTAAGAAGGTAAACAAGCTTGTCAAACTTAGGATTAAAGATTGAAATTCAAATTGGAAATTTAACTAGACGAAATAAATTCCTAACTAATTCTTAAAGTGCGTACCTTCTAAGAGACGAAAGACCATGTACGAACTTGCATATTAAATCCTTTTAATTTCTATTTAAATTTAGTATTTGGACTCGAACAGTTCTCGGCGTTTTGACCCCGACAATGGAACGGTGTATGAGATGAGAATTCAAATTACAACATGACGTAATCACAGGAAGATGTTAATTACCGTAGTAAGTGGTGCCCCAGCCGACCACCGTCGGTCTAGCGCCGACAAACGTTTGGCGTTTTCGCGGTAAGCAAATGGGTATCACGTACGGCGACCTTCTTACAGTTCTGGTGAGCTCGAGGATGGCGATATCGTTGTAAAACCCGGCGCGCTGGAATTCTGGATGCACGTGAATCTTCCTCACCGCATAAGTCTCTGGTGACGAAGGTTCGTCGTCCCTTTCCAAATCGATGTCGCCGAGACGCACAGTGAATTGCCGGGCAGCGTAACTGTAACCCACCGTGAGAGTCCCGTTTAAAGTGTCGGATACAAAGTGATGAATCAGATGCTGATAGAACGTTGCTTACGACTGCTTTTGCGGATTTTGGGTGCAATGGGCAGCGGTGAGGATGTGGCGCGGTCCTATCAACGATCCACCGCACCAGAATTCCGTTCGCCGGGAGCCATGAAGGAAGATCGCCGCCATCCAGGGCCAACGACCAGGTAGCGCCTCCTCGCCTCCGACCACTCGAAATTTACCTGAATGTACCATTCCGCACCCTAGACAAACCAGTATTCTTTGTTTCAGATTTTTCGAAATTTTACCCATCTATCTCCATTGGCAATAAATATAAGTGGCGACACAAAGAATGCCCGATAAAAAGTCTTCCTCAGTCAGACCTATCTGTTTTTAACGCGCAACAAAAAGTATGCTCGGGTACCCTCGTTGTTTTGAAGGAAATTGTTGTCGATCGTCGCTATTGTTTCGAAGCCATTGATATTGTTGACCGAGTCCGGCGATGAAATGGGAGGTCTCGTCGTCAAGGATGTCACCGGATATAGCGGTATCGGGCGTGGCGTGGGTATTTTCGTAGGTCGAATCGTCGGCCGTGGAGGATGTCCTACGTCGAACTCGGAGGATGCGCCTCCAGTGGTGCTGCAACATTCGTTCATTTAAACCTCTTTTATACGATGAGGAGGATATTTGGATGTTGTACGTAAGATACGCGAGACGAACGTTTTGTCCACTGGGCAGCAAACTCCTGGCTCAAACAGAGCCTTGAAGCAAAATGAGTTCTTCAGCTTTTCGAGGTTGAGCAGCAACTGCGGGCAGTTACTGAGGTTCTGACATTTTCCGGGTCCACCCTCGGCCGTCGTGCACGCGGACGATGCCAACTTCTTGTCTCTATTTGTCAGTTCCTCCACGGGCAGTTGCTGCTGTTGCTGTTGCTGCTGCTGCTGCTGCTGCTGCTGCTGGACCGACGGCGCCTGTGTGGAGGGCACAATCGTTTGTCTCAGTGGCAACGTAACACCGCGTACTAAGGGTGCTATGCTGTCTGTCACGTTGCGACCTGGAAGAGGAAGTAAACCATTTATATCCAAAAGCGTATGTATCAGTAAATAACAACTAGCATTATTATTTAGCTCTATATAAACGAATGGACATGTGTTCAGTTTTACTAATTTATTCGTTCTCTACTAACTTATTAATTTTCTCCGTGTTACCTAAAATATTTTTGGAGATGGTGTACAATGCCGAGGGCAGCTCCTTCGGTGGATAATTCGAGATCTCGATGCCCCTCGTCATGTTGACGATATAGTTGCCCACGGTGTTCAGGGCACCCAGGGTCTCGCTGATGGTCGCCAGAGGGTCGCTCTGCTCCTGCTCCACCTTGACCAGCTGCGTGTACGGGCGCACTTGCGTGTCCCTGCGAGCATACACCGGCCTGTCCGATCTGCTCGGCTCAGCATCCCAGGAAGGCAGCCACCCTCTCGTCGGCGAGACGTACGAGTTTCTGTATCCGTACGCTGCGCAATTTTTATCTCGCGTGAGTTAAAAATGGACCAAATAATTTAAAAGAAATTTTTTTTTTAATAGGGAACTACGAAGTAAGAAATTGCAGTCTCCTTTGACAATAAACGTTTTACCGTAGGTACAATACAATTTACGCCAACAGACAGAGATGTTTCTGTCGGGATAAAAATTACTTACGATAAGTGCGGTAATGCACGACTTCTTCGGTGTACGAGATGGAACCGACAAATAGACTCCATATTATGTACAGACCTGCGAAGCACAGATACACGAGTTATCACGTAAATTACATATAATTAATTATGTAATTAACATTATTAATTCAATTATCAAAGTTATATATAATGAAATAGATATCTCACAAATGTCACTCCGTTATACGAGACGCTTAAGCCTAATCTACACAATGTGCTCTCTGTATCTAGAAACATTCTAGTTTATATAAACGGATCAAAACGCTTAAAAAATTTGTCGACAACGTACGACTGTACTGTGTATACAATTTATCTACTTGCGCAAATTTTTTAAACATATTTATTGACTACAAAATAGAATGCAGAAAAATTGCATGACCCTCCTAAAATGAAAGAAATTTTTTCTTTAATTGGAATTTGCCAGCCATTGGTCGTCATGCAATTTTTCTACATTGTTTAATCAATTACTGGCGTTAAATAATTCTTTACAAAATAGAATGTTCCTACACTGAGAAAACGTGTCGAATCAAGATGATCTCGATATTTATTCGTGACAATTACGAAGTCACTCGTAGTCATCTGTCATCGGGAATACCGTAACGTACGCGTCGTTCATACTAAACGGACGCGGTTTCGCGTTGCGTAATGTGAAAACTTTGGATCACTCTTGAACTTTCCAATCTTCGCAGAAATTGTCGAAATTTTTCATACACGGATATGACGCACGGTATCTGCGTCATTCGGTCTTCGAGATAAAAACACGTGAGAGGAAACGCGTTACTTTCCCTCCTAAAATGAAAGAAGAGATACTGTTACAAAAATGCACGCCATGTGGCAAATATGTACCCGTTTTTATTATAACATTATAAAAAGCACGTTTAATAAACGTGTGAGATCAAAGGTGCGTGATTTATAACAAACGAGAGTGATTTCGAGCGACGAGAGCGCCGACACTTTGCAAGTGTAGCTCTGAGACTGCTTCAAAGCGTTTCTCTTCTCTTTTTATCTTTATTGAAAGAAACAAAAAGAAGAATACTTGGAAGCATTTATATAGCGGCAGTTTGACCGCAGTCTAAGTAATATCATAATTACTAATGAAACACTCGATTAGAGTTCACTCGACCGGATATACTCGGTTCGGAACGCAATTACCATTTCGACCTTGTTTTACCGGCCGTTCTTGTTGAATTAGATGAAATTAAGTCAGGCGTGTGTTAAATACTCTCGGACTCGCGCTTAAGCGAAAGAGGAGATACCGCTCCGCCTTGGGGAATATTTTTAAATGGTCCTGAGATCATCGTCGGGCCAATTCCCCGACGATCCGGATCTAGTTCCGGTTTTTGAACTCGATTCTCCACGCGAGAGGAGAATTTCGAGAGTTCTCCTCTAATCGGCCGCGGCAATAAAAAGCCGGATTCCTCCTGCTCGAGAAAAGGAAGAAGTGCTAAAGAGAAGGGAAAAAGCGAAAAGGAGGAAAGAGATCAAAGGCGCTGGCCGGCTATTAGAGGCTCGCGGGAATGTAAATTGGTCTTGGGGTCACAAACGCGTGACCCAATTGTAGCGCAAGTCTTTTTGAGGATGGATGCTAAGTAGACACGCAATGACATACGCGTCCCCTTTGATCCTCAAAGGCCCGGGAGGAAGTCCGGGATCGTGGATGGCGGCCGGTACGCCGTGTGTTATAATTACAAAATTACGTGTCCCGTGTCCCGCGCGTGGAAGTAAGATTTTTCGGGACTGGTTACAGCGGGGGGCACCACGCGCGTCGGGCTTCTCCCATCGACGGTGAAAGTTGCCCGGCGTGAAAGTGTGCCTTTCTTCTTCCGTTCACTGATTCACGTCGCCCCGATACATCGAGGAGAGGACGACGACGATTATTTATCCCTCGGCGGCCGGAGATAGGGACGCGGTAAGAGCTCCCGGGATTCCGGTCGGGGAAACCCCGCTCGTGAACGCGAGTCGCGGCCCCCGAATTCTCAACGTCGAATTTTCACCTCGTCATGCTGCCGACGAACGAGATCGACGACGTTCGTCGTAACGTTTGCTTTCGCCCATTAGGGATTAGAAAATTCAGAGGAGCGGCAGAGCTCGATGAAATGGGATATTTTATTGCTCCACCGTCGTCGACCTCTGCAAATTCTGCGCAAAAAAGAGAGAAAAAAGGGGGGGAAGATTACGGCTCGCGTTTCTGCAACAAGAGGAAAATCTTCGAGTAACTTTTCACTGCATGTGGGATCAACATCCTTTTATCCTGAGTTGCAAACGTTACAAGGACGCCCCGATTACGTACATCAGGATTGCTTCTCGCGGCATGCGGGTAGAAGTTGCATCGCGTCGCCACGACCGATTACATCAATTGCAGCGGACGCACATGCTGTCGCTATAATTGCGATTGTATCTTGCATCGACGGTCCTAGAATTATTTTCCAATCCCTCTTACAGGTGCTGGATTGTCAAATACAATTTTGAGAAAGACGCGCGAATATCTGGACACGATGCTGACTTCTTCAGTGACTTCACGGGCCATCGCGCGGTACCCGATTTGCATCCTCGCAACGGCTGGCTTTTCGCCGTTTCACCGGCTGTGACGCCGGTTAACCAGTAGTGAAAATGTGAAAACACGAAAAGCAAGAAAAAGCCCGAGCTACATCCAGCCAGTCGGACGTGGGCGCCATAAATATATTCGCATTTCGTAAGAGACGGTCAAAGACTTTTTCCTCGAAAGATACGCCAAGACGTTTCTCGAGCGATTAATAACTTTTTTTTTAAATAATTTTCTTCTGTTACCAATAACCAAGAAGTGAAGCCAAGCTTTGTAGAAACTGACAAAATTATGCATTTCTTAGTGAAGAATTTACAAGAAATGCTTGCTAGGTAACACATCAAATTGATTTCTAATATCAATGTTAGGGTCTATCCAGACAAACTTGCATAAGCGCATAAGCATATGCATAAAGAAATTGATTTGGTTTATTTCCTTATTCATGCACTTATGGTCACTCAGATTTCTCATGCATATGTTGATAGCGCATGGCGCTCCTTGGGTTTTTAGGATGACAAAATCATATCCACAATTCTGCAAGTACATAGATTAATGGAACTTTGTCTGAAAGTTCTCATTGTCAGTCACGAGGATATGTTATAAAGACAACATTATAAATTACAGGGTGGTCATCCCAGGTGTTTCGGCTGCGTAAAAATTGCCCTCCACGAGGAAGCCGAAGCTGTCTCGAGAACGTCAGTTGAATCAATCGATTCGCAGCACGTGAGCCACCAGGGCGTTACTCCGGCGCATTTCGGCCGAGTGTTTTCGTGATGAGGAAAGGCGCGGCTCCTCTCGAAGAATCTCTTTGTGCCGCGCAGCGTTTTATTACACACGTTTATGCGCGTTTTGCGTCGCGTATAGAATAATATATTGTATACCCACGCACAGTAACCCAGATATGCCGATCATCGTGTGCGTGTGCGATGCGTACGCTATACCCGCGAATTTATTTGCGACATCACGTGTCGTAAGAAGGAAAAAAGGAGAACGCGTCTGGATGTATGCCGGCATTTAAATCCCCGGATGACGAACCCGCCGCGCTCGCCGACGCGAACGCTTTACGACCCTCGGTCAGACAATTCGCACTCGAAAGCGTGCAAATTTTTCAGTTTAGAAACTCGTATAAGACGTACGAAAATACTGTGCGTACGCAAAGAAGAAAATTGCATCTGTTTTGAATGGTACGCAAGATGGCAAGATGTATTATCTTAGATACCAATTTCAGTTCAAGGGTCTATTAAACAAAAAGAAAAAACTTAGAATCGTTTGAATTAACTGTAAAACTTGTGTATGTACGTTTTGTAAGAAGGTTCGATCAACGATTGCCTAGATTGGGATTAATTAGCGTTTATAGCGACGTAAAACAATGCGGCTTTCGCGAAACTAGCTGGGTGCGATTCGCTAACGTTTTCGTTGATTCGCGAATCTGTGTCACGCACTAACGAGACGGAAATTGCTCTACTGTTATTAGCGTCATTAGCAGGCTGAGATCGGCGTGTCGATGCGATTCCACGGCAATTTGAATCCCGATAGCGATCCACGAGCGGGGTAAAAGCGTTAGTTGCGCGGCAAGCAGCGATTAATTCACGGGACGTTAATGAGAAAATCAATGCCGTGCGAAGCTTCGTTTTGCCAGTAGGTCACCGGGACCCTGGTATCATTAGACAATCAGCGCCGACGGCGAACTCTAATCCGAGAAAGTGAGAATCCGTGCACGAGGCGCAGGAAATTTACGAACGGCGGCGTAATCGAGGCCACCTTCGACCCGCGTAGACGCGTCCGCTTTATTGAGGCAAATTAAAATAAAATAGCGACCGGGCCGATCGAACGCGACGAAGGAGGCTGTAAGAATTCCGCGCGTTTCCTGAAAATTCGTTCCAAACAAATATTTCAAAAAAGATCAGAGCTCTCCTCTTCTAGTCGCGTAAATATTTTGTGCGCCGCATTTCTCTTATGCCCGAGACCAGTAGTGTCTCGCAGCATCTTGCTTTTATATTTGTTGTACTTCAACGACTACTGTGTATTACACTCTCGCGGATTTATGTATTTACACGTGTAGTCTCTTTTTGGCCGGAAGTAACATAGCTTAGAAAGCAATCCCTTGTCTCCACTTCTGTCAGTGTAGATTAACTTTAATCTCAGCTTGACTTACTTTCCATCTTCTTCTAATTCTTGGAATTAGGAAAAGATCGAAAGAATACGTTAAACCGAGATTAAAGCTATATTGATAGAAATGGACATTGTGCCGTGTGCTACTGAGGAGGAATGCAAATAGATCGCTTTCTTATTGTCGACGCATCGACATGCCGATTCACTCAGTTTTCACTTTTGAAATCTAATACGCGCGCCAACACAGGTCGCACTCGGACGTCAATAATATTTGCCGTCATCGTTGCGTGACGTTCTATCGCTAATCCGTCCTAGCGGAACCGAGTGACAGGCGTCTCGAAGACGATCCGATCCCATCGACATTCGCCTTCTCGCACCCTCGCGCGGAAAATCTCTACGTTTAATATCCCTCGCGGATTGCAGAAAGGAAGATTTCACTTACTCAGGACCGCTGACGAAGACATCTCCGTTCGAGGGAGACGAGGGAGAGCTTATCCCGCGGGCATCCCCAGCGTTTGTTCGTCACAACGTCGCAGACGGCATCCGTGACACCCGGGGCACGAGAGACGCGGCGCCGAACTATTTTAGCTAAGAATTGTCGCGTGAGAGCGCCGGCGAGTTATGCATGGTGCGTCGAGAGCGGCGCAAGAGAGAGAGAGAGAGAGAGAGAGAGAGAGAGAGAGAGAGAGAAAATGAGAGAATGAGAGTGACAATCGTGGCGGGGAGAGGGTACGACACCGGCAGTAAAAAAAAAGAGAGAGAGAGAGAGAAGAGAAAGAAGAGCTCGGTAAAGGAAGGAAGCGTGCAATCGCGGCTGCACGGGACAGACGGACCCGGCTACGACGACTGTCCGTGAAAAGACCTCGACACACTTTACTCTCGACGGAGGATCTCGACCGACCGACCGACCGACCGATCGGCTCACTCGCTCACTCTCTCCCGTTCTTTCTCCTTCTTTCTTCGAGGCGCCGTCCCTAGTCTCCTCAAGGGAAAGTGGTGCTCCTTCTACCGCCTTCCACGCCGCTGATACTCCGCCTTTCGACGACGATTTGTCACGGCGACACGCAGAGATGTTCCCGGGGCCGGCGAGTCTTCTTTCGGCTGCGTGTCCGTTCGCGAGATGCGTCTTCGTTTCTGGGCGACGGAGAGAGAGTCAAAGGAAGTGAGCCAAACGCGAGCTGTAATATTGCCTAAATTTATTTACGTTGCTGCGACAGTTGCCGCTACATCGAGTTCCTGCGTTTCGCTGTATAAAGTAGGCATAGCTACCGCGTTACTCAACACGTATATTTCTCTCCTGTCTTTCCGAAATCCAGCGCGGATTCCGGTTATACTCTTGATAGGAAAGACAGAAAAGAGAGAGAGAGAGAGAGAGAAAACATGCTTCTCTCCGGAGAATACAAGAAAATCATGCGACATAACATCCTTCGTCGCTCATTATTACATTCTATTAAAACAAACTCGTTAAAGATAAACAGGTGCACTTATAGCCTCTACGTCCCTTTCATTGAAGTCGATCTTTTTGTCAAACGACAATAGCTATTCAAGCCGATCGATATCTGTAAAACAAATAGTTGGCGCGCGCGCGCTCTACAAACTGATAGGAAAATAAATCATTTCATTTCGAAGGGACACTTTAGTGGAATCTATTAACACATGTACAAAAATCTGTTAGATGCGAATAGTTATATCATGCCGAATAGACACATATAGAAGAGAAAAGATGGAACGGAGCGCGCATAATTCGAAATTACGAGTGCTCTTCTTGGATAAGATTATGCACAATATGAATTGTATATAAAATCGATATTTTGTTCGATTGCAGCAGAACATGATGTTGACGGTACATGTACGCGATTCTTTAATCGGCCAAGCGGGCGTGGAAACGGAAAACGTTTCTGACAGAATTGGAATTCCTATACTTTCAAGACCGGACGCTGCAATTAATAACTTAAATCCGTCGCGATTTATCCGCACGTTGCACTACTAGTATCCCAGTAGTCGTTCAGGAGTTCTGAAAATTCCGCGAGGTTACTTGAACGATTGTTCGTGGTCGCGAAAATGCACACAGTCCGATAATCAATATTTTCTCATGGGCATGGACGATTTGTACGCCTCAAATCGTTCATACGACGGCGCTGTCCCGGGCGCGGTTAGTCCCATGGATTGCATCGGTCCGCTCTGATACGTCGGTGGGATCGGATGCCGCAGTGTATTTCCCATGCTACTTGAGTTGCTCCATCTGTAACAGGCGCAAAGCGCTTAGTTTGCCGGTGGATGAACATGTAATGTCTCGTCGAGCAATTTTGCGATCGTATCGCTAACAAGATATAAGCAAGTCACACGTGCTGAAAGTTACGCCTGTGAATCAAATGGCGTACCTGTTAACGCTATCGGACGATCTAGAGCTCCAGCTGGAGGGCTCGTTGCGGGGATCACGAGACCCACTGCTCGTTACAGAGTTGAAGGATTTTGAAGATGTAGGTCCCGAGTGCCAACCGCTAGGTGTACGATTGCTTTCCACGTAACGACTTTCACCTGCATATAACAATGGTATGTAAGAATAAATGAAGACGCTACTATTATTAATTCACTTCTATTAATTGCGACATGTATACTTTTCTCCCCTTTTGTACAGGATATAGAAAAATAATTGAAACGTTCATCAGCAAGAATAAAGTTCAACCTTATTCAAATGTAATTCGGTATTTCATTATATTAAACTCTGCGTTCGTATTATTTGGTACGCTTTATAATAAAAAGTATGTTAATCAAGCTTGTATCGACATGGCAGACACAAATGGCGTGTGTTTGCATCGAGTATTCGCGCAGCCTTTATTAAACAAGCTGGAGAAAATTAAATAACACTGCTCTCATATCTTGTTCATTGAATCATAAGATTGATAGCAGGTCCAACTAACTACAATGAAAACTCAATAGAAATAATATACAGTTTTATTACAAAGGCATACACATTTATAAAAGAGAATACAGATTGGATTTGGAATGAGATGATAAATTTCTTTACGCGATTTAATATGATATATAAAAGGGGGTCAAACTTTAAACAAAAATACTTAAAAATGAAGAAACTTGTGACCAGTGCTTAATTATTAGTACGAACTTTTCTAATTTGAAATCATTAGGATCGAGCACAAAATCCAATTCTCAATGTCTCCCTCTCTATATATTGTATATATATTTTTTATAGGTATAATAAATTTAAATTTGAATGTTTAAAGAAAAAATTTTCTTCTGTATATAATAAATTTCACTTTAACTTCTTCTAATAAACGTAAACTTTAACATAAATTTACTTCTAATCATAAACCTGGAACAATTCTTATGTTTGTTCAGCAAAAAAATCTAATGATAAAAGTGGTGGACTTGAGATATGAAAAGAAATATTTATGTGTATGTGTTAAACGTATTACTAAAAATTAAGTATGCCTTAATTTTTAGTAAATTAAACAAGTAAATAACACTTCAATATAATTGACTAGATTTTAACTTCGTTTTATAACTTGGTTATATGTAATGTGCACACAACTGTATAAATTATATCTAGCTTTGAAAATGTTTGGCATGTTGTATACGATATACATACGTACATATATATATCTCTTTTATTTTTTGATCTATCCTATCTTTGAATGATCTCAAATTATAAAGGAAAAAGATTTTTACAATCATTCACCTAATTTTACTACATTAACTTTTCTTTTATTGAAGAGAGTAAAATTATATTAATAAAGAAACTTTATATTTCTTAAATCTCAAAAATTTCGTTGAGTCTTCAAGCTTATTTTTGACGAATGTTTTATAATATTTATATATTAAGATATAATTTAGCTGCATTAGCTAAAATTTCAATTTCAAAATTTCATTATCCAAGAATTTAATATCAAGGGTATTGAACAAAAATAAATATGTAATGAACATATGTAATAGTAGGTCATGTGTGCACACCCTCTTCTCTGTCAGAAATTTTTCATGATGTTTTGGTTAGTGTGTTTTGCCATCCTTACTTAAAGTTATTCTTATAAACTCCTGTGCACAGAATTGAAAAAAAAATCATCCAGAAAAAGGTTCAGTGTAATATGAAAGAAAGTAGAAAAAATGGTAAAAATTTCAAGCGTCGTGTACTAAAACGAACTCTCGTACGTGTACGGTTTGTCATACTTACGTGGCGTGCTAGATGTTGGAGGTTTGAAACTATCACTGTATCGAGTATGAGTATCTCTAGAGCTTCGATGCGTTTCAGGATCAGAACGTCGTACTTCGCGTTCGCGAGTATAGGACGTGGTGTTTGGACGTTCGTATCTGTAATCCAAACAAAGAATCTTACTAAATTTAAAATGCAATCGCTCTACAATTTTGTGACTTGAGAAACAACACGTACCTTTCCTTGACTTGCCGAGGATCCATTGACGAAGATGTGGTAGATAGACTTTCTCGTCGTACGATGACTTCCCTTCCCCGTGAAACATCGGAAAAGGTATCCGGTCGACTATTCCTCGAAGAGAACTCGCTACTTCTTTTAAATTCCTTTTTTAAACCCAACTCTTGAGTAGATCTGAAATAAATTCGATGGCGTTTTAACTACGTTAATATTAAATTTTTTGAAATTTATTTTATTACATCGTCCGAAAACCTTGTTACGACTTTCGATCGACAACAACTGAACGCCACAAAACGTGACAAAACAATCGGAATAAGGTTTACCTGCCGGACTCGTACCGGGACGGCGGCGAAGAATCCAATCGTCTATCGGACACTCGTTCCAGCATCTCGGTCCGTCTATCGACTATTCTTTCAGGGCTATGCCTGCGGCTATGTTCTGTAGCTATCCGTTTTCTGTCGGACTCCACGAACAAATCCCGCGGATCTCTCCTGTCAGTGGACGATCTCTTTATGGACGGTGGCGGTGGCACGCGTCGGCTCTCCTCTAAACGCATCTGCTGTCTCTTCAATTCCAGTCTCTCACGCTCGAGCTTTTCCCTCTCGAGCTTCTGCCGTTCACGCTCAAGTCGCAGTAAGTCGGCTCTTTCCTGCTCGATCCGTTCTCTCTCGCGTCTCAATTTCTCTCGTTCTCTCTCCAAACGAGCAGCCTCTTCTCGATGTCTACGTTCTATCTCTCGTTGACGCTCCATGTCTTCTCTTCTTCTTCGTTCCTCTTCCCTCAATATTCGTTCTCTCTCGCGCAATCTTTGCCGTTCACGTTCTTCCTGAAAATTCAAGATTGCGTTTCTTATATGAATTTGTTTCTGCTATTAATGATTTCATGCAAAGTTAAAGTCAATGGAGATACTCACTCTGATTTTAGCAAATGTGAGAACATCATCGCGCTTGCGTCGTTCGCGGCTCCGAGATCGACTATGAGAGCGGTGATCTTTGTCCCAGGTACGAATTCGTTTTTCCTCTCGTCTTCCTCTCTCGCTCTCCGGCTTTTTGCTAGTAGACTTTGTCGAACGGGAATCGGACTCTTTAGGCGGATCTTCCTTTTTGTCTTGCATCTCGATTTTTATCTTCAGCTCGGCACTATCGTTTTTCTCATCAGATTTTTTTGCTAAACAAACATGATAATTGTTCAGTGTTTAGAATATCGTCACAAGTTCGAGTGAAATTCATGAGAGAATTAATTTCCCCCTGATACTATGATTATTACTGCAAAGAAGTAATATTTACTCGCATCTGCTCCCTTTTCTTCAGATTCCTTCTTTATTTCCTTCTCCTTTCTTTCATTTATATCGTGATCTTTCGGCTTTTCTTTTTCCTCCTTCTTCTCCGATTTACCATTAACCGTATCACGTTTACGTACGTGACTTTGCTGCGTATCACCTTTCGCCTTTGAGAGAATTCACAACAAGGATAAGTTTTAAAAACGCTGCATATAGATTATAAAAGACAAACAAATTTTGATAATGCCAATATTCACCTTCTCGACGGATATTACGCGTCCGTGAAGCTCGGTTCTATGCAAATGCTGTATACATTTCGCAGCGTCTTCGCTCGAAGACATAGTGACGTAGCCGTAACATCTTGCGCCAGGAGTTCTCGCATTCGTCACCACTTTTGCGCCTATAACCTTACCGTACTTTGAGAAGATTTGCTTCAAATCGGTCGCACGAGTACTCGACGATAAGCCGGATACCCACAAATTGCGGCTGCTTGCATTGGTTGGATTGACTTGAGAGGTCTTCTTATCTGCGAATATTATAAAAATACACGTTATGTTTACGTAAGATTCTACAGATCTGTAATTCCTATTCATTTTTGCAAAAAAAAGAGAGAGGAAAAAAAAGAGAAAATGAAACACTGCATTGAAAAATAGGCGAACGAGCCTTCTTACCTTTCTCCTCTCTCTTCTGACCCTTATTGCTAGACTCCGCGCTGAAAAGGATAATATTGTTACTATGTCAGAAAATAAAAACCCATAATAGTTGCGATTACAAATAACAAATTAATTAGGACTATAAATGTGCTTAATAAGTATCTCTGTAACTATGTTAAGGAGATATAAATTTGGCTAGCAACTTATTTTTCGACAGTACGACCTAGATACTTTCTTTTGGGGGGGCGGGGGAGGGGAAGGTTTCACTCGTACACCATCTCGTACGTTATCAGTTCTATTTAGATTATTGGCTGTGTGTTCACTGCGTTCTCTGTTTATCCACTTTTATCACTCATGCATAAGGGAATCGTGTCCATGCGGCAACACTTATCAGCTCTAAGTATCCACAGAAAGGTCATCTGCTGCATAGTTCTTCTGTCAGGATACTTCTTGCCATAATCGGGAGTATTTTTTTTAACGCTTTTCTCTCATTTTATACAGGGTAGTAGTATCTTCAGTAAGCAATAGGATCGCTTCTTGATAGTACGAGGGCTTTAGCACGCTTTGCCGAATATAATTTACCATAAGATACTAACGTCCTTTGTATAGCGACGCACGATGAAATCGCTGCCATTCAATAAAACGAATGAGCGTCCTCGTTGTGTAGGGGACACAGAGCTCGTCTGGGTTTGTTTTTTTTTCTTGGTATATAGAACACGTGTAATCGCTTTGAATGAATATGCGGAGAAAAATGCAAGCGACATTCGAGAGACTAGTTGTAAGTTTGCTAGCCAAGTTCTTGATTTCTTAACATACTTTCCAGAGTTAAGAATTATAGCCTGAGGGGAGGACACAGATTGGAAGGTAAACTTCCGAGATTCGATTTAAAAAAAGGGAATTGAACATAATCTTGCATGTGACGTGAGTGATCTCATCTTGGAAATCCATTGTCCTGACGGTACAGAGAGAGAGAGAGAGATAGAGAGAGATCATCCCGATGATACGGTTATGCAGCAGTAGAACATCCCTAGCAGAGTCGTGAGCGACACATTTCCAGTTTGCCGTACCACAGTACTGCGAACCGTACTTTTTAGCTCTATGAGAGAGACCAACCTCTTGCTTCCTCCATCTCCACCCTCCTGCTTGATCTTCGTCCCGTTCGCACCGGACGTCGTCCCTTCCTTGCCGCTGGCGCCAGGTTCCGCTCTACCGCTGCCTTTAGAGTCTCCCTTCTTGTTGTTCTCTTCCATTTTCTTCTTCTCTCCACCATCTGCAGGGACAATCAAGGTAGCATAGTCACTTTCTGCCAAGCCCACAGACTCTTCTCCCTCCCTCCTAACATCTGCCTTAGTGGCTTGTGACTTCCAGTCGGGAATTTCGGCCAAGTCACTAATAAATTCACACAGCAAGCAACGGTGTGGCTTGCACGATATTACGAGCCACCGATCTTCGATGGCATCTCGGTTTGAGATCCAGGGAACCTAAAGCTTTCTCGTCGGGGTTTTACGTCGGTTTTACACGCGCGCGTGCCAGCGCACGGAGCGCACTACCTTTGCGTCTCTTTCCACGGAACTTTGAATTGAACATCGAATTGGAAAACAAAAAGAAAAGATAACGATAAACGTGTCGCAGAGCATGCTTCATCAATTTCGTGAATTTGCATTGCTCTGCTCTGCGTTGATAAAGCAATCCCAGCGATAAATTACTATTCTCGCGCGTGGAAAACGTGCTCGAACGTATACGCGCGACAACGATTCGTCCAAGAGGCACGGACGATTCGAAGATACTGGTCAAACCTCGTGTCGTGCGCTAATTTATATTTTGCGGCAACTATTCGCTGGCGTTTACTTGAGTCTTCCTGTATCCATATGATTCGACGATAAGAGAGATCCAACGATGCTCTACGTGGTAGGTATAATTAATGTAATTGTATATCAAATTATAGCGTTAACTAACTTAAAGACTACGGAATATGGCTTGTTGGCTCGAACAGTAGCACGGGAATGCCGGGAGGTGTACACTGTTTATCCCGGTTGGAAACCCTCAGCGATCACCATGCGTTTATCCCGGTCGAAACGCCTTATCTGTTGTCGGCTTGCACTTCAATGATCGTACACCACGTCTATCTCGTGGCTGGACTGTGTCGTATCCAGATGTTGAAACGAAGTTCACGACGAGGCTTGAAGACCGGATGACTCGTAGGACGAGCAACAAGTTGGTCGCGGACGATCCCGACGTCGCCGATTCCCCTTCCAGATGGTTGCACGAATGCGTTCTTGAAGAGACACTTGCTCTTGATGCTGGCGCTTTCGCTAACTTACTCAGGATGCCGCAGATACAAATATCGCTAGTCTTGGTACTTGGAATACTTACAGCTAAATTCAACTAAGTATAGTAAATAATGGCGAACTTACCTTTGTGCCTGTCATGAGATTCTGTCTGCAATAACAAAGAATATCCATTAAAACCGATTCCGCAGAAATCTTTTCATCTCGAAACCTTAAGAAATTCATTATACGTAGTTTGTTTTCGCGAATCGTACCTCCTCAGCGAGGAGATTCTCTTCATCTTCTCCTATAGTCAAGTTGATCGAGTCCTCGTTGTCAATTCCATTTGCTTCGACAGTAGCAGATGGTGCGTCCGAGGTTTGATTCGAGACAGTCTTTTCTGTCTCGCTCTTCTTGTCGGTGTTCTGTACACTTTCACTCGTAGCCTTCACTTGCACTTTGTCTTCCTGCTTCTCCTCCTTAACAAAAATATTCTTAACTTCAGGTTCAAATTCCTAGACAAGAAAAGGTAAAACTGTTAATTTTGAAAAACAGACACAATCCTAATTATCTAACAACAATGTATGCATATGCAATACCTCTTTTATCTCCTTAATAACTTCTTTTTCATCAAGTGGCTCTGTTTTTATCTCCACCTTTATCTCCACCTGTCCATTTTCTTCCTTCTGATTATCAGAGCACTCGACGGAATCTTCTTGAGTCAAAGCTCCTATAATGAGAGAAAAGTTTAACAAACGACAGAAATGTCATACTGCAATTGTTAAAATGCGACAGACTAAGGCCCGGTTTCACCGACATCGCTTAACTTTAAGCTCAGTTTAATTCGTTCTTTGTCTCTTTCCAGCTGTTACTTTAGAAGGAGACAAACATGAATTAAACCAAGGTTAAAGTTAAGCGACGTTTGGTGAAACCGAACCCAAGGGTCAGTTGTTCGTCTTCTGGTTAAACGTTAACCAAAAGTTAGTCAATTACCAGGCACTTTTTGGATAATAAAAAAAAAGATGGAGTCGACTAGCCTCCGGTTAAGCAGAAAGTGAAAAACAGGGCTCGACTCTTTACATATCAAAAGTTATTGTAATAACGCACGAAAATATACGCACCGCCATTCTTTCTTGGAATGATTTTGGACGATCCGCCAGACGGTACGATAAGATACTCCTCGGGATTCTTCCCTTCGTCCTGGATCGCCTGAAAATAATTATTTCACCTTAAGTTTATAAATTGACTTCAACAGGAGAATAAATGTATCGTGTCCACTCGTTCCGAAGCATTCGGCACACTAACACAAACACGGAGAGAAGAATCGTTTGTAAACGCTCGTAAAGCGAATTTCGCCCAAGTAGCACAGATGGATTGCGCAACCTTTCGACCTCACCAGCACGCTTTTAAGCGAACGCTCTGGCTAGCGCCGGAAGTGCACCCGTACTCGTGCAATCGCATGCTCGGACACGCGATCGATTTCTGATCGACGGCGAGCCCTTTCGATTTGGAGCGAATACGCGCCGAGTCTGCTAAATCGATGAGATCGATGACGATAAACTGCCCCGAGAGCACGAACGGCATCCAAACGCGAAGAATCGCGAGGGAGGGAAAAAAAACCGAGAGGCTCACCTTGGACAACCGTTCGAGAAGCGCCGCTTTGTTGCCGGATTTGTCTAGGCCGCGACGTTCCAACTCCGTTTTGAGATCTATAACCCGGAGTTCGGTCAGCTTTTTCCCTTCCACATCGGCCATTGTACCCGTAACGACGATGGTTCGCGGGACAGGAACAACGGCGGCGGCGGCGGCGGCTGTGGCGGTGGAAACGCGGAGTTCAACGTCGACGGATTTGCGTTCGAGCCCGATCGAGGATTACGATTGTGGATGGACGCGTGATCGCGACTGTACTCGCTCGAGCGAAGGATCCGAGAGCACGAGGTCACACTACGAGAATCTTCAATGGCACCGTGTCAGATACCGTGTCGGAACCGAGTGGGAGGCCATTGCGTCTGCCATATCGAATTGAATCGAATCGCACCTAACTGCGTTCGGAAAAACACGATCGGTCTGTTCGGAGGAAGAAAGACGAAGAGGGGAGAGTCGCGAGAATGAAGACCTGCGTCCTAAAAAGTCACTAAACTTGAGACTAGTAAACTTTACTGTGATTGGTCAGATTTCAATCTAAAGCCCGCTGCACAGACAATGCTATTTTTCCTGCCGGTCTAGATATATTTTGTCTATGGTTCCAAGTCACTGCTATACCAACCAATACCAACTGATGTCAACAGCACGATGCAATTCTTTGAATTGGACTCCACAGAGAATATAGAAGTCTGTGTCTCTGTGACCGCATCAGCGCGCAGTAATCGCAAATTTGTTTCAACGTAAATATGCGTTTATCTCTGCTTACTTCTAATTCTCTTTCTCTCTGTAAATACAGACAAATCGCACTGTAAACGATGAGCGACAGCGATGACGATCGGCCGCAGTTGAGCTCGAGCACGCTTGCCGCGCTACACGAATTCCTGCTGGAGAAGGAAGAGCGAGAGAACTTGCTGAAACGTATAGCCGAGGGAGTTCGGATACCCGATACTCCCTTCGACGAGGATTGGGTGAGCGAGCGACAATGATGCGGTAGATTTTTTTAATTCCTGGAAATTGACACGCAATCGACGTTGCAGCAACTGAGCCAGTTTTGGTACAATGACGATACGATAGCAGCTTTTGTCAGAGGTGCCTTGAACTCTACGCCGGCGAATGGAAAGGTCGCCCTGGTTTCTTGTCCGACCCTTTACGGCAAACTGAAGAAAGAATGCGGCGATCGGCAAGGTGCGACTAGTACTCGCATCCAGCGGGTCAATTCTGTATCTTACGCCGTAGCGAAAATACTTCCTTGAAGTTACACCTTCGTAGATGGTTCCGGGGAGAGACTTCTTTGTGCAGTGTCGGTTAAAAAAAAAAGGGGGCTTTTAGTTGGTAGTCCAGCATATCCACAGGGTCCGGCGCCCTGTGTTGAATGCGTAAATGCATTTTTCCTACTCTCAAAGAAAACAAATAGTGAAAATGCTAAACTAACTTTCTAACTGTCCCCTTAGAAACAGAGTCGCTTAATTTCAGCATTTTCACTATATTTCAAGATACAGAAGTCACCTCCTGAATACATTGAATGATGCTAACCAAATGGTTCACGAGTATAAGACCCGGTCTACAATGAGTTGTTAATTGGAAGTCAGAACTATATGTCGGTCCTTTCGCTCAGAATGAAAAAGGATTGACGTATAGTTACGACTTCTGACTAACAACTCATTGTAGACCGGGCCTAACACACGTTATTTTAATTGCAGTCACGCTGTTCGAGTATGACAGTCGTTTCGAGATAATTGGTGAAGATTTTATTCCGTATGACTACAAGTTCCCTCTGGACGTCCCGCGGAACATGTCTGGTCAGTTCGACCTGGTTCTGGCCGACCCACCGTTCCTCTCGGAAGAGTGTTTGACCAAGACGGCAGTGACGATAAAGTTCCTCGCCAAGAAGAACATCGTGCTCTGCACAGGTGTGCGCGACGTTGTCCTTCCGGCGCGAATTTCCATTGCGGGCTGATCGATTTATGCATTTACACAAGTGTTTTGTCCCATATGTAGGTGCCGTTATGGCCGAGTTGGCGGAGAGGCTGCTGGACGTCAAAAAGTGTGACTTTGTTCCAGGTCACAAGAACAATTTGGCGAATGAATTTTGCTGCTACTCGAATTTCAGTTTTGACAAAACTCTGGTGTAAGTGTCAATGGTGTCGGAGACAGTATTGAACAAAGATATATATATATATTTTGTGATAAATACATTTAAATGTTGTTAAGTTTCGTTTGTACTCTCTCAAGAGCAGACACGAGTGAATGCCTAGGTAACTCCCTGTCGATAAATTAAACTTCACACTTTTGTTACTGTAAACAGACGGGCGGACGCATCGACATTTCTATAATTATAGGATACATTGCAAGAAGTGTCCAGACATTCCAATTGTATAATGTACAATTAATCAACTTGCACAAATATCTTTTCAAACCTATTATTAAACAAAATAGAATGTTTCTAGACGCGAAGAGCACAATTGTGGATTAGTCTTGTTGCAAAAACGTACGTACTCTTGTGACGTTCGAATTTACGCGGGCAAGACGCGGTGATTTCTTCATGTCCGGCCCGACAACTCGGCGAAGGAAAGTCCCTAGATCGCGCCAGCTAGGGCGGGGGGAGGGGAAGTCACTAGGCAGTGTCGCTTCCGCGAAAAAGTAGACACGCGATGGAAAGCGTAAATATTTACATCTCTTGAGTGTTCGTTTCGGCGTATTTTTTTTTTAATTTGTATAATCATGATAGACGGGAACATCTCGATGGAGGAGGACACGGAATTGAGGGACCTGGTGGTGCAGACCCTGGAGAGTAACGGCGTCCTCGCTAAGATACGGGTGCGTCTTCGGGCGGCTATGTTTCGCGAACAAAAAAAAAATATTCCGCGAGGGCCTCTGTAGGTTAGGCGAGTGTTTTCGGGGCGAAAACGGGGTGGAAGCTTAGTTAGGATTGTCATCCCGCGGTCGCTTTTGCTCCGTCGACCTTATCCGATCCCTTTTGTGATGTTTTGCAGGCGGAACTCAGGGCGAGCGTGTTTCTGGCACTCGAGGAACAGGACTCGGTTATGGTGAGTGTTGCTCAAGTATGCTGCGATAAGGCGAGAAAGGGGAGCTCCCTGTTTACAAATCTCCGTGTGTCCCATTAGCCGTAGGAACTTTTTATGCCTGCAAACCGAACGGGAGCATCTTGTCCGTAAGACGGGACGTTTGCTTTGCGTTGTGTTTATTTCATAAAAAGAAGGAAATAAGGAAGCTTTGTGCTATTTTTTTTTAATACTGCAAGAATCCCATACAATTCCCGTGAGAACTGAATTGCTTATGTTCCGATACTTTTTTAGATGTGAAAATGTGCTTTCTAATTCTCACAACTTTTGCGAGTTTCATGCGCGTTTAGTGTGTCGTTAATTGGGATTTATATGAAAGAAAAGCGGCGTGGCGCAGCGGGTGATTTAATAGGCGAAATACATGTTTCAGAATCCCGAGCCACTTCTCAACAAAACTGTAAAGCAGTACCTGTCTAATTCAGAAGGAAAATTATTGTTTTCCTTAGTTAGGGAGTTCCTAGAGTACTTTGGTCTCGACTACACAATATCTGTATATGATCCAGAAACATACTTCGGAAAGGAATATAACTATGTAGGGAGAAATAAATTGTGCGAAGAGTTAGGTATCGATTCAACCGAGCCATTGCTGGGGGAGATTCTCAAGAGTAGCATCAACGGTGCCTTTAATAGTTCACAGAAGGTATTTTCTTGAATTGAGTTGTAATTGTTGATTAAACTCACGGTCGAGCAATCAAGTCGGCGACTTGTTTCTTTGTTCGAGGCACATTCTGACAAAACAAAATTTGCCTTGCTAAATTAACGTGTTCCCGGCATTGCTTGCATTTTCCCGCACTTTTCGAGGCGAGGTCCCTGAAATAATAAATACATTCTCGTGGATCCTCTCTACAGAACAAATCTAGCAGCAGACACGACGAGGCGGACGAGGCCACGACAAATTTCGCAAATGCGACATTCGAAGTGTCCGTGCCGAAAATAATCCACAATGAATCCGTGTCGTCGTCAAATGATAACGATTCCTCTGAAAAATTAGAGAGCATTTCCGAGCAGAGTCCGAAGGTTCCAATAAACGTGACAATAACGGACAAGAAATGCAAAGATCCGCCGACTGGTGCCGACGTTGTAACAGACACGTCGGATTACGATAAGCATCAATCTTCTCTCAGGGAGAGTACAGTGGACACTGATGGAATTGAAGGTAACAGGAACAATAATGTAAATTTTGATAAGAGCACCGCAAATCCACACGGCACATGCACGGCGACGAGCGACGTGGCGCAGGAGACTGATAGCACCGTTACGTCTAATCAAATGAGTCCGTTAAACAAATCCGAATCCTTAATTAAGTTCGACGATACTATAGTGATCGACACGCAAGCAAATCAAAATGAGGATGTATCTAAGCAAAACAGTATAAATAGTTTGGAGCTAAGTATAGAGAATAATGTACAAAGTAAAAAACCGGTTAACGCGGGAGGCAACTTCGGCAAAACGATATATTTTGACGAGATTATCGTCGGCGGTGAGCGGAAGAACGTTAGTACAATGAATAAAGCCGAGCCTTTTCTACAAGGTTTGCCGACCATCAATCAGAAAGCCAATTCTATATTTAGCGATCTGCCACCATTAAACGGTAAAAAGGCCAACATTAACGATCTGAAGGAATTGATGGACATTGGGCTTGGTGAGTTACAAAAATGTAATCATGATAATATAAGGACTCGCGTTCTCGCATTGCCAGTCATGCACTGTGCACAAATCTCGGCGAGATATTAAAACGACGCGTTTTTACAGCTGCCGATGGCATAGATAACTACGAGGAAGACTTTGTGTCGTCTGCATCAGGTAGCGCGAACGAGCAAAGCCCCACCAAGGAGCCCGACAAGATAGACAGTCCTCTCAAGTTACGAACAATGAAAGAGGAAAAGCCTCAAAGTGCCCGTACCGAAGATTTAAGCGAAGAAATCGAGGAAATGGACGAAATCTTGAGTAGTACCTCCGTAAGTAAACTCAACTTGAATTAACGCGAACGGCGGCACTATTACAACTGCAATTGCACATATTTTTCTCCAGCATAAAATTACGTAACTATACACATAGAACCGTTATATTTTAGCTCGAAGATATAAATACGGATAAGAATATATCAAACTTTGCGACGGGTATTACCGCGGATTATACATAGAGAATGTAATTTTCACTCGTATCGCTACAGATCCTTTGTAAGAGTTCTAGCGAGTTGTTCCTCTTGTATGTAACCTTGATAAGATCGATATATCCTATCACTAGAACGCAGCGGATATCTATGCCGACTACTGTAAGAATTCAGCAACTCGCCGAGTTGAATTCATAGTTTCTGACAAAAGGCACTGCCAAGCTGTGGCTCAATACTTATAAGTTGCGCTGCAAGGGATATAACAAAAAAACAAAAAAACGTAGAAGGAAAATGTCTGAATGCGTGTTACTACAGACGATACCATATTTTTGTACGATTTGTAAAGATAAGCGACACTGAAACTGTCATAGTTTGCAATAACAATGCGTATTGTGAACAATCGTCAACTTTTTCATAGATTATCCGAGACATTGCATAATTCAGGAAAGCAATACGATCGATATACTGTCATTAATACGATATGTATTGTTTTTTTTTTAATTATTTATACACGCAAAAAGAGTATCTTCTGTCATTCTGTCGTTGGAAAAACTAACGAAACTGAAATGCGAAAAGAAACATATGTAGAAGAATATAAAATAGCAATTATACAATTATGAAATTCGCAATAATTTCCAAGTTTTTGTCTGTATTTTCATAACATTGAATACCACGAGATAAAGCATTTTATTTAACTTCAGACAGGCTACCTTCTACGTTATGTAAAAAATATACTAGTATTATATTACTCTTACAAGCATATTACACAAATGTTATGATAATTTAAATATTAAGGAGGAGTCAAAAAAGGAAGAGCACACGAGTTAATACTCGTCAATAACTTAGTTCTATTTCTTTCGATCTTCTTTTCTTTTTGTAGAGACTCTTTCTATTAGCATTTTGTCGTGTTTTTATCGAAGTATCTCTGCCCTTAATTTTATGACTGAACATTGTCCATTACCTCATTTTACATAAAGTTACTGACATGATATTGTAACAATATCAGGAAATCGTCCGTCTAGAAATGGATTGCCTAAAAAATCCATCAAATTATTTTTTCGAATGTAATGGTGCTAAGTGTTTGAAGCTAAAGTTATTTATGAGAGTTAACGTTATCTAAGAAAAAAAAACGAAGAAAAATTAGGTGCTTATATATTTTCTTGCATCCATGATTCGCAGGAAATTAGTGAAAGCTAGACTAGGATATTGATTTTTGGATAATACAGCTCGATTGAAAAAAAAAGAACGAAAAGAAAAGAAAAACGTTTAAATGCGGATATTTTGTGCCCCCCACCCCCCCATATAAGATGCAATAACTAAGTACAACTCAAGATGGATCAACTAGATGCTTGACAAATCAAAATCCTTTTGTAAAAAAATATGTATAGCCAGTCAGCTTTACGAAAAGAATTTTCATTAACAACTAGACTACGTTGTAACATTAAAATTTATGCCTGGTTCGAACGAAGGAATTCCGTCGCTCATATAATCTTTCATTCAACAAGGTTAATAGTAATTCGCCACGCGATTCGACAACTTTTCAGACGTTGATAAGTCAAGGAAATACTGTGCTCAAATATTCGCAGCATTTCTTACTGTACACTTGTATAATGCTATATTTATTATTGCTCCATTACATCTTTATAAATTGTGAATTTAAATACGAATGTTATGTTTATTTCGGTAGCAACTGCATGCGTAACGCGAGAGGAAGGGACAAATTACGTTAGCGATACAAAAACACTGATACTGATAGACTTCAATTGCATGTGTCTCATTGCGACAGGAAATATCCCGAGGCTCTTTGCGGGAAGAGTATACACGCTAAAATGCATCGTGTTTCTAGCGTCAAATTAAATTTACTATTTACCAAATTAATTTTTGGGTCTCTATTTCGTACGTAATCGGCACGCAGTGACGGATAAAAGAAATTTACACGAATCTCAAGTAGCGCCCCGCACAGCACACGATTTTCCCTTCGTCTCAGTACTGCGTAACGGAATCGCTTAGTTCGAACTGCCGTTTATCCCGACGTGTATTTAAAAAAGTGAAGGAAAACAAGAAAAAAAAAGCAGGTGTGTTCCTGACCAATCAGCGTGGTTACATTCTATTATCGACACGGCAATCTTGACGACGGGATTCAGGACTGCATTTGAACATTCCTACGCTCTGTAGAGTCTAGACGAGAGATAGATACATTCCAACATTACGCACTAAGATAGGCCGTACTTTACGTCGTTACCATTAGCACGCATGTTTACAGAATAAGTGTATCTCTCATTGTAGATTGTAAGGGTATAATTTAAGGAGCATCTTTTCTTTTGTATCTGCCGCAAGAAGCGCGCGGCTAAAGTTTCACTTGATCTTGCGGAGTGGCAGAAAGTACGCCCTCGGTGGGGTCTGTCGCGCGATACATTTCCACCTGGGCGAACTCTCGTTTAATCGTAAGGCAATTCTCGAACTATACCTTGTGCTTACGTGTCTCTTGGTTTTTCTTCTTCGCATGTTTGTAACGTAGATATATCTAGAGAATGCGTATGTAAAACCTATGGATCGTCTTTAAGGGACGCCGCCGAGAATGTAAACTGTCTCGCAACGCTTTTGAATGTATTTACTCATACCCGGGGATGAACGATATCTTCTTTTTTATATGATTGTTTGACGCAGCTTTTGTGAAAGGAACATATCCGACGCAGATTGTACGTTAAATCAAGTAACAATTTTATTGTGGAAAAATGTATGTACATATACGACACAGTAGTGTTTCAATGCACAAATTTCATGGAGAGGCAAGCTCGATAGTTTCAGGATAGATAGCCCATAGTCCATAGCTATTCATAATTCACAGTTTGAAATTTTACGAGGTATTGACAGCAACCTGCTTTACGATACTTTTTTACACGGTCGCAGATAATTATTTTGTAACCACGTTGAAACATTGGTAGCTATACCGTGCCTTTTAGTGTGTATGAAATAATTATAAAGAATGCAAATAATAATAAAAAAAAGGTACTGTGGAATTGTGGGTTTTATGAAACACCTATGTTACTTATTTATGATTTTCAAGTATAATGTAACGATATGTATTCGTGTATGTTATTTATTTTATAAAGATTTTTCTCTTTTGCAGTCGTTTTGTCTACTTTCTTTTCTAGCGCTCTAAAACCCTACAAAATCCTTACAAAAGCACACTACACAGTACGCTACCGGGTCCCTCTTGATAATTTGCAGCGTAAATAAAGGTATTTATATTGTTAAAAATGTATAAAGTGTGTCGCAGGTGAGAGCGTACCTTTCATCACCTCGCATCATGCGCTGTACTTCAATTGTATCATACGTCATTTACAACAACGCGATGGTTTTTAGATGCCCCGAGAGAAGGCTGTAGATATCGAAGTGACGTGCCTTATCGGCCATATACAAAGAATATATTTGTACAACAAATGAACACTGTACGATACTGTAATAGTGCCATTAAATTACAGAGTGGATAACAAGCAACAATATATTTCCACAAACGTATTTACATTCTGTTACGTTCTCTTTGGAGTCGTTCACTATACGTTTTCGACACAAGATTAAACGAGTCCATGTACCGGTCCATGCACATTGCCAGGCATTTCTGTGAACAAACCAACGGGAATCGATTAAATCAGGGAACGTCCTCGGCTCGATCGACAGCGGATTGCAGTGACAAGATGAACTGCGGGGAGTAAGGAAACGTCGTATTGCGAGACAAACTTGAAATCCTCAAGATGACTCGAAACCATCGTGAAACTTTCTCACTTAAATGTTCTGGCCCATTTAATCGTAAGCTACGGGAAAGCTGGGACTCGGTAAACAAAAAGGCGCGTTTCTGGCTGCGGTGAAGCTTCGAATGTTTCAAAGTATTCTTCTTTCTTTCGGCAAAGGTGGGAAGAGAAGAAAACCGCTTCGAGGCGTTTGCAGCTTGACCGCACAGTCTGACGCAACTCTTTGGGGGTTAGATTTGGCGCAGTGTACAAAATTTACCTGTTCCGAGCTGTCAAGCGAGGTGCCCGGCTTGGCTATGCACTTTTTGAAGCATTTTTCTGTCATTTTCTGCAAATACGCATAAAAGTCGGTAACTTGCAGTCAGCCGAGGCAAACCGTCGGGGGGAAAAGACGTGATAACGATACCGTGAGGAGTTCCTGGGCATTGGCGACCGCTATTTGTTGCTTCACTTGCTGCATAAGCTCGTCCCGCTGCGAACCCGACAAGCTGCCCGCCGTCAACGTGTCCATTGTTTTTTCCGGGTTTCTCGGATTGTATCTCGATTTGCGGCGATAGAGCGGATATTCGCAAAGAAAACGCTGCCCTTCGCCCGCGGAACCGCTGCCATGAACCGTACTAACCTCACCTCGCCGGTCGCGCGAACGAGACCACGTGAAGTCTGCCCGGTGCAGCACTGCAGCCCCGTTCACACGGACGAAGTCGGCCGCGGCAATTCTGGCGCACGCGCGCAGTAGCGCAAGCTTGAGCAGCTTAACCGGCCCTTAGAAAGGCTCGCGCTACCGCGCGTGCGCGGAAATTCCCACGATTCTGGGATCACTGGTCGGCTCGGTTACGCGCGGTCGAAGACTGTTATTATTGGTGGACGATCCCGCGATTGAATCCATTCCGGGGCCTCGGGGGTCGAGTCTCGCCCTTTGAAGGTCTCGCCGCGTAAGTTACTTTTGCGCGTGACCTACAAATATTCAAATTATTGATAAGAAAATGGGGAAGAGAGCAGCTATTAGGAAAAAACCTGAAAAGGTAACGGTAAACGTTCGCGAGTAATGTCGATACGCAACTTAAAGCGCTTACGTTTCTTGTAGGTACGCAAGGATTTGGAAGCTCAAGTGCAAAGGGCGAAACAAAAGTTTCTGCGTAGATTACAGCAAGTGTTGGAGGAATTTTGCGACGAGATTCGTGATTTAAGTGACTCGGGTAAGTTCACTCGGTAGAAGGAGGCATGGACCTAAAGGTTTAAAGAAAAATTTTTGATCCTGCGGGGCTGCATTCATGAAGTAAGAGTATATCACCAATTAAACGTCTATAATTCTACAACGTCTATTGCTTCGTCGTGGCCGTGTCGGCTACCGTTTATCAGGAGCCGGGCGCACATAATTAGAAGAAGACCTAAAGGTCTAGTCTGCAATACGTCGTATGTCGTCGGGTCGTAGCCGATGGTATCAATAAAAGCGAATTCGGTTGCTTGCACTAGTGCGCACTCAGTGCACGCTAAGGCTTGTTTATAGTCCTTATATTTATAGTCAGTTCTTATACTTAACTTTGTCTTAAATACATGTTCAAACCCAGTGAGAAATGATTCGTCGATCGACGTCGAAATGATGTCGAATCGACGGATCATTTCTCACTGGGAAGAGTATTTAGGCAAAAATGACCGGTGTAAACGTTGTACAGGCGATTTTTCTGGATGAGAGATATTGCAAGAGGTATTTAAGATGATCTTTAAATATAAGAATTGACTGTAAACTAAGGCTTAGTGTGCGAACTAGAGCAACCAACTGAATTCGCTACAAGAAAATTGCTTTTTTGAAAAGAATTATACCGCGACATAGCAAGCACTCTCAAAGGCTCTTTTCACGTGTAAATTTTATTGTCGAGAGTCCCTCGATTGTTATTTATCCAGTTGCTAGAACTATTATCTCGTTCACACATTTTGTATATTAGAAAGTAATGAAAACTTTAGTTAAATTAGTAATCGTAGTTTAAACCACACGAGGCTTTGTATGAGAAAGAGCTTAAGAAAATTATTTTCAGAAAAAGAGCCCGCATCTTCCCATACAAACAGTCGTAACGAGAGCACTGTGCTCGATAGCTACACATGTTATCGTTGCCGACATTTCCTAGAAATACCGCATAAGCGGTCTAGCGACGGGACACCTGCTTTTGTAAAGCAAAGCGAGGAGGAGTTGAATTTTATCCAGACTGTTTACTGGCTGAAATCCGTCACCGCCTGTGCCTCTGAAATACCAGTCGAGCAATTGCAAAAGATATTTTACAGACAGTGGAATAGACACGTTGAATGTCATAGTGAAGATACGCATACCGATGTTGAACAGTTAAGAACTGTGAATAAAAATCTACAGCAGGTATCTGAGAATACAAGAATGACAGATGATACCTTAGTAACGTCAACCCCTCTACATATTTTCACTCAAAGAACAACTTCAAATACCAAATCTCAAGAAACACCAAGTAACCATTCTCTGCCGACAAATCAGTCACCTGTCCCGTCTTTGGTACTCGAGATCTCTGACAACAGTCACAACACGACGATAGAAAACCAAGCGGAAGAAGCAGATTTCTTCAGAACTCCAGAAATAGATGTGGAGTCGATCACGAGTGCAAATCTTGATTTTAATAATCACTCTTTGAACTTGACACCGCTTGGACATCAGTCCCTTGAATTGGAAGAAGATGCAGAATGCTCGATGCAAAGCGCAACAAAAAGTGACGTCGAACGGATAAACAAGAAAAGGGTCGAAAACAAGCATATCCCCCAAAAGAGCGTCGCTGCTTTGAGCGAATTCATTTTACCGAGAGATGAATTTGTCGATATGGAAAATAATTTCAACGGAGAGTGCTCCACCCCAGAGCAAAGGCAAAATGAATTAACCGATACGGTGCTGGAATCCAACGGCATTCCGAATACAAGTTTTGTTGTAACTCCACAAAACGTCTCTCCGCCTGTTAACAACACATATTGTGGACTTGCAATAGATGACAATAGCTCTTGTCGGAGCGATATCGACCCTGAAAATCTGCGCGAGGACAGCGCGTATAGTACAGCACACAACAATACATTTACTTACAACACCGCAGCAGAAAGCAGATCTACCGCTGGTAATAAGCGCTTATCGAACATCGAACGTAAAACGCCACCTCGCAAAAAGAAGACAATGTACGAGACAGAGATCTCTTTGACTAACGTGACATTCGACGGCACTCTTAAGAGTTTGACGGTAACTCCAAGAAGTGTCTCTCAAATATCAATTTATAACAATATTTTTATAAATTTTATAACGAATTCCGAATTACAGATCGTCAGTAGTTACGATGAACGGATGAACTCCGAAAATTTGGAAGATGATGCAGTGGCAGCGAAAACTAGCGGCAATAAATGCACACCGAACGTCGAGCATTGTCATGCAACGGCCTGTGCTCCCGTAATACAACAAGTTGCACCAGTAACACCAGACACTAATATCAAACACCATTACAATTTGCGAGCTCAAAGAAACAGGGGAATTAGGGGAATTAGCAAAGAGAAAGAGGCTCCTACTACAACAAGAGGACCGAAAAAGCGTAAATCGGAACGAGCACGGAATCTAGCAGAGAAAGAAAACGAAAGTGCAAACAAAATGATTTCTACCGACTCGTTGGACTTGATTCCAGAGTTGCCACCTGTAGATCAGATAATTATCAAATCGATTAAAACAATTCTCTCGACACTTTGCGACAATAGAACAGCGAAGGAATACATAATAAAAAAACGGTTGACACAATCGCGCAATTATTGGAAAGGTAGCTTTGAAGAGGAAGCTGTAAACGCGGTGTTGAATATATCTGATATTTTTACAATAGAGAAGAAGCCCAACATATGCATAAAAGAAATTGTGACACCAATCATTAAAACGTTGAATGAGACAATGACAACGTATACACGATTCAACAAGATGTACGATAAAAATGAGGTGTGTGTGTATATATTACAACTCGGAAAAAATATATATGCATAAACAAAATATATAATTAAATTACATATATTTTATATATTTTGTATATACAATATATATATGATTAGAAATGTTTTAAAGTTATCTAAAATAGAATAGCAATAACTATGCAATACAGTAATACAATAAATTATTTTCTAGACAACTATGGACCACATATGGACATGTCGCGTAGAAATAATTCTGGAGTTTTGTAATTCATTGCCGATATGCGTCAATATGACCGACTACTTGATAACGAGACTAAAATCACTTCAGTCTATGCTGATGGACGAGAGGAAAGTTCGAAACCCCGATATGATACATCAAATGCATATTGTATTTTACACGTTAAATATCACTCTACAAAAATATCGTACAATTATGTCGAGCCATCGAAGATCTCGACCTGCGGAGAACACATCGTGTGTCGCGGATCTATGCAAAATACGTTACATTGACAAGGAACTTGAACATACAGGTTTAGACCTGGTTGCTACGGAGAAGCGATGGTTAAATGTTTTGGAAAACAGTAAGGTAGTTTTCACGGAAACTTTCCTACCATACAGTGAAAAGTCATCTTCGCTAGTCCATATGTTAGTTTCGTAATCTAGCACGAGGATAACAAAATTTGTAATGTTGAAAGTTCAAAATATGCAATATTAGGAGTAACCTTTTAATCAGTTATGTACCTACATTACGTTTTTTCATTTCGTATATTTTCATATATACAAAAGTTTTACAAACATAACAGAAAGTATTTATCTAACTTAAACAGAAAGTATTTATCTAACTTCACTGTTTAAATTCTACTATATTCGTAGTTGCTTTAAGTATTAAAAGCTACATAAAATAATATTAAAATAAATATTGAAATTTTGTACTGATACGAAATAAATCCATTATAATTCGACGAGTTAAATTCCTTCCTTCCTAATGGATCTTCCGTTTTTATTAAGTTCTCTGTAAACCAACCGCATAAAGATCGCGAGTCCTGAGATAGTAGATTGATATTGGCATTTAGTAAAGTCTGTAGTGGACATATATCTGTGCAGTTTGGTAATTGCAGAAGGATCATCGTGTCGTCCATACTCGCGTAATAATTAATCTGAAATGATTTCAATATTGTTTGAAATTATTAGCGATAGCTGGAGCATTTTTAAATAATAATAGATAATAATAAACACCTGTAAATTGAATGGTTGTAAAAATTAAATATTCCAAATAATAAGTAGAGTAAAGAAATGAAATATTACCTTTATTCCGTAAGCATTCGTGTCGTTATCGAAATATAATTCGAATATCAACGCAGCTGCTTCGTTAGGAATGTGAGGCGACCAGAGATTAAGATTCTTCAGAACCCCGACGATATTTCTTGCGTCACCACTATACAACATCATTTTTCGTTCTTTTGGTATATCACCTATTATATACCGTAACGAGTTACTGATAATCTCTCCTACAAAGATTCCACCGTTTAACTGCCTCTGCAGAGGAGTCGCCGAAAGAAGATCGTACTCCAGCAAGGTGACGTTGTACATTGTATCATCGGAAAACACGTCCTTGGCCCAATTGGGTAACATATTGTTTCGATCCGCCTAATAATTTTAATTATTATATATATGTGTACACTAATAGAATATAATTAACAAAAATATATATTTTGTTAATAGTTCTCAAGATTAGTTTTCAAAATTTGTAAGAGAAAAAAGGGAGAGTTTATGGATCTCTTCTTTTGAAGGGACTTGAATTTACCAAGAGGTTTGATTACTTTAATTTAATTTTTGCAGACTTACCATTGTTTCTAAAGTGGCATACAAGAGAGCCACGTCCGATGGGGTGCTTATATCTCTTTTAGTGTATTCAGACAGATGATCGAACAAAGATTCATATTGTGCTAGCATTTGTTTTGTTTTGGTTGTTTCTAATATTTGGTTCATCTGTGAAATAAAATTCGGACACAGAGAACCCAGCATCAATGTATCCTCTTTCAGCTTTGCATATTCTGCAAGAATTTATCAATGTTATATGTAAGAGAAGAAATATAATTTGTACAATACTACAATTAGTTTGAATACATCGTTTAATTAAAATTGTGTACTTTATATACTGTGTCTGATTGATTCCATAAAACAATATTGTGAAATATACTTTGAGGAAGTATAGTAGAAAATAATTTTGAGGATTGTATACATTTGGGAAAATTATAATATCCTGCATTAAATAGATATAATCCTATTCCTTACCATATGGTATCGGTTGCCAATTTAAGTTATTATTCCACATTTGACTTTTTGCTGGCGGCCACAAGCCGGCATGAACAAGCTGAGCCGATAAGATCGACGAGGAATGCTGTGTCGTACGTGTTTTCATAATTTCGGACATATATATATCGCCTAGAAATTCCTTGTAAATCTCGCGTAAATGCGCTCCAAAAGCGTACATATTCTGTTCTGCATTCTATTCAATCAAAAAAAGACATGATAATAATTATAATTTATTTCTGAGTGGATACAACCCTAGTAGCACAGTACATTGAATAAACATTGGTTAAACATTGGCCCAATATTTGGTTGTGTTGGGCCAACGTTTAGCCAATGCACTGTGCTATTAGGAAAGTGTGTAAATCAAAATCAACTGAATCTTCTATCGATGTCAAGTTAGAAGATTAATTACTACACGTACCAGGGGCATGTTCATCGTGGCGGAAATAAAGGATTCGTACGATAAAGTTTCCGGGAGGCTGATTTCATTCGTTTCTATGTCGCCTTCCCAAGGCGTGTACAACTTACGCGCGAACAGCTGCGATCACATCACAATGATTATCATATATTTCTTAAATGTTAATTTACGCTTAAAATAAGATATGTACTTACAACATGCACTAATTTTAAGTCTGGTACAGCTAAACTGGGAAGTATGCAGATGTATAATGTGAGCACGATGCTGACAAAATGTAGGCCGGCTATTTCACTCATCTTTTCCTGAGGAAAAACAATACAATACAATACAAAGACGAACAGGGTTGGGAAGTCTTTTTCTTCTTCTTTATATAGCGTCTGCCTTCTTTAGAAGAACAATATGAAATTAAAGCAAATACATTTGGTCTTAACACTCATCTGTAGGACACAACACTCACAACACTCACAACAATAAATCGCAATCACGCTTCCCCAACCGATCTACTAGAGCGACTCTTCTAGACACAGTGTTGGGATTGTTGGGAAGTAACTTCCCAGATAGCACAGATCCCAGTCAGAGTTTGATCGACGTCGAAACGATATCGTATCGACATCGAAACCGTCCTATTGACGTCGATTCGACTTCGTTTCGACGTCGATCGACAAGTCACTTATCGCTGGGTTGATGGACGTCCATTGGATGTTCGCGACCAGACACCCATACAGCACAAACCTTGCAGTTACATTGCAGCTACATTACAGCAATGTTGCAATATTGTAGCAATGTAACTGCAACACTAGAATTGAACACTTCGTTCCAGTTCTGTTCAGTAAAAGTTTTCTCTACCAGTCCCACGTAGCAAAAACGGAACGGAATGTCGTATCAATCGAAGGTAAATGTATTTGATGTGTCGATATTTCGTTATTTTGATGCGACTAAAGCAATAAAGCCCGTATCATACTACGGTTTGAGATTAGATTGAAATTCGACCAATTAAAGTAAAAGTCACTGAACTTGAGATTAGTAAACTTTACTCTGATTGGTCACATTTAATTCTAATTTCAATGTCAATCCGTAGTCTAATACGGGCTTTACATATACATAATTTGTGTAATTATCTTGCCGATAACATTGTTGTACTTTGAAATACTGAATTGTAAGAATAAAATATATTTTGTGTAACCAGGTTCCGTTCTGTTTTTGCTAGATGCGTAGAAAAAACTTTTACGTAACGGAACCATGGAACGAACCGCTCAATTCTAGTGAAGAAAAATCCTGTCATTTTATCAACTTTAATGTAAGACTGAATAATTACTTAACAGGTAAAGGTCCAAATCGTTTGTCAACAATAATGTATGATAACATGATATGAAGAATTTCTCGACTGCTATCAAGGCAGACGATATAAGAATCTCGTTGTCTCTATATTACATACTTCTAAATTTAAAATAAAAGAAAGTTATGAATTCTAAGTATCCGGATTCTTCAATATACATAAAATTAAAAAAAATTTTTTTGTGCTAAAACACGTTTTCAACACAGCTCAAACGAAGAAGAAATTGTCATACATAATGCTTCAAAAGCCAGAGACGGTAAAAATCCATTTCTTGTAAGCTCCTAAGTGTTATACTTTTATCGACGACTTTTCATGCAAACAATTTATTGTAATTTATTTGAAAATGTGTTTTAGCACACAGAAAATTTTTCAAAATTTTATTGTGTGTATTGAAGAATCTGGATACTTAGAATTCATATAACTTTGTTTTATTTTAAATTTAGAAGTGTGTAAATATAGAGACAGAACGAGAGAAATATGTCACGTTTGTGATATTATGCGAGTGGTCATCTAACTCCAGATAAGAATTTTCCTCTATGTTTCCGTCCACATCCGCAAAGACAGCCGGTCTGCCGTGACGCTTCCGAAACCACGACCACTTGTATCCGCAGCTGACTGATAAGCACAGATCCGTGTTATCAGAGCATACAAGTTAATTACGTTAGACATGCAGCTAAAATGCCGACGATCCGTATACTCTCGTCTTCCTTTTCTCGTCATTACGATAGAATTTAGTTAGCAATATTTAGTACAAGTTTCTGTACATCGCTAGATTATATTGTAAATTATTTCGAAATGTGAATATAATTCCCTTTTTTAGTTTTTTATTTTATATACGTATATAATGATATTAATATTTGTTTACTCTCACTCCTGACACAATTTATTCATACATAAAGAACCTAATAATTAATTACACTCGAATTATTATAGTGTTGACAAGAGTTAATAAATATATACCCAGTGAGAAATGATTCGTCGATCGATGTCGAAATGATGTCGAATCGACATCGATCGACGAATCATTTTTTACTGGGTAAATGTCAACTTTAGAAATAAATATCTAAAAGAAACAACGAGCTAGAATTTAAGAAATTATATTGCAAGAAAACTGACAAACCGAAACATTTCGTGTGACACTCATATTCGTACTTTTTTGTCTATTCTCAATTTAATCAATACACTTTTGATGAATACTTGCTTTGTCGACTCTTGGTCCTTCGTTTTAAACGGAAAACTGAACAAACACTGACACAGCGATGCAACTTTAGAGCTTACCTCTCGACTTTACGTCTACTGATTATCTTACCGTACTACCTGATCTCATTTGTACAATGATAACAATCAGTGGCTTCGCCGTCTAGAGAGCTAGTTAAGTATATTCGGCAATTAGGTAAACAGGCATTACGTCAAATTAGTTTATTTAGACGTGAACATGAAAATTTAATATTTCATATACGTGAAAATTTAATAAAAGAGTTATGATTAATTCATATGTTAATTTAATGTTCAAATAAATGTTTAAGCATATATGTATTATTATTTAATAAAGCTCGATGATGTGCAATAATATTAAAATGTTTTTATATAACATAGAATTTATATTTAAGACACTTCTGTCGTCGACAATATTTCCGCGAAATGCAAAACCGTTCAAACACTTGCAGCTTTGATAAAAATCATACGCTTGGCTCGTGATCTTGATAATTATTAACATCCTGAATGCAGAGTGTATGCACAGTTTTCTCAAGAATGTATAAAATTTCGATGCTTCTAAAAAAATCTCATTGCACCGATAAATTTATTTATATCAATAAATAATTAACACTTTGCAATCTAGGATAATTATATTAAGATATCAAGTTGAAATTTTATCAATTAAAGTATTGTTAATAATATGACACTTAATAAAAATAAATTATACAATTAACCATTTTTACAAGCTTCAATTCTTTATATATGTGCAGTAATCTACATATCGATATTTATGTGTTTAATTAATCTATAGGCTAACATATGTTATGTGGTGTTTTGTAAACCATGCATCTCGCACGTGATACATGCGATCGTATCATTCATAGTAAGCATAAAGAAGCGTGATCGTCGGCGACGATACATGTTAATTACGGTATCACGACGATAGTGCCACTCCGCAGTGTGTTTTACGAAAGGTAATGATAAGTCGCAGCGAAGGTCAACGTCGGAAAATAATTTTGGTATTAAGAATTAGTCATTTCCGATAACACCGTCTGCGTATCGCAACAGCACTTTATCGCGAAAATGTAAGTTCCGATCGATATTTCGTCGATTTGCGTTAATTGATATATATATATTATTGGCAAAAATTGCAATATTAATATGATTCTATAAACAAAACAAGTAAAGAAAAATAGTAGTGGTATATTTATACAATTTGACATCCAATCTTTATGTAAGATAATGATGTAAATAACCAATTTTTGTTCTATGGGAATATGAATTAAAATATGTCACCATTATTCAAAATATCAGACACATTCACGTCTTAAATATATTTTGAATATTATAAAAGCAATCACGGATCGTTCATTAATTACGCTCGTTGTTTAAGCGATAGCATCTGCGGTGGTAAAACTACACATTATCGCCGATATATCAAACGCGAAATCGGATACTAATTGATTCTTCAAATATTTTGAATTATATGTTTTATTATAATTTATTTTGATTATAATCAGCGGAAGGATTATGAAATCAGAGTAAATAAATGTGAGACAGCAAAAAGGTTGTTTTTACTCATTGTCAGAATAACTCTCGAAGAAAGGAGAGAATATCGGGAGCTTATCCTATCGGAGAATCTTATCTAATAAGTCAATTGCGAACATGCCAATACATACAATTATTTTGACTACAACATTAGACTACAAATATTGTGCAATGCCAAATCGCTCAGGTATAACAACTAAGCCGCTTAGACGAACGATATCGTCAGAACAGTACCTGGAAAAGCCGGAAAGATATTAAAAGCACGAGTCACTCCATCGGGTATCCCCGATTTGCATAACTGTAAGTGATTCTTCCGCTTCCAATATTATTTTCGCGAAACGTCATCTATACCAAATCGCCTGTGATTTAAGATCGTTAAAAAAAACTGCTGCTACTTGGTTATTTTTGTCGCGGAAAGGGGATTAATTAGTCGAATCTAGAAAAATATATACAAATGTACAAATCTAAATGTAAATGTATATTCAAATAGAACAAAAGTGCGGCTATTTTTAACACTTAAAAATTTCATAACAGCTATCGAGCATTGATATGTATAATACATACGTCACTTTTTTTGTATTTGTGCATTCGATTCGTGATACGGTGTTCTAAAAACAGCCTCGGCATATCATTAATTATGTTAATTATGTATAAAGACCGTTATCGAGTTACGACGCGAATGGCGGATTGACGCGAATAGATTAACAAAGATGAACTGACGTACTTTATCTTTACGTGCATCTTTCAAATTGAAAACACTCTTTCTTAACAGAGTTAGTTGGAAAGATATTACGAAAAATATTCCCGCAATCTGGATGAAGGCATATTTTTCGCAATAAGTTTTTCCAAGTATAAATTACTAGCCAGTTGTGGTCGAATAATATTATTTGTCTGTCATTTAATTACTGTGGCGAAGAAGAAAATTATTACTTGTGATCCTTTCTTAAATTTTGTGCGTGGCGATATATTGCTATTAATATCTGAAAAAATTATTTGCGAGAATTCATTTGTGAGAATCTCGCTGAAATTGTTTTATCTTTCGAATCTTTAATGAAGTTGTTTCAAGCCAAATTATTGTGATTGTTATCTCATGCGCATGTTGGCGCATGTAATTTCTACGATAAATCACGTGAATGCGAATTATCTACATCTTTCAATTACAGTATACAAATTGTTTCACCATTTGCGAACACACGAATGCATTTAAGAATAAGAAGAAAATTATGTTTATGATAAATTATTTCTTTTCATTAATTATTCCAAATTGTTAGAGAAATTATTTTATTGAAATCGTTGGCAAAGTGTGTTTTAGATTTGGATTTAATTAGACAAAATAATATGGCTTGTATTATCGTAATTATAAGCTATCCATTGCTAGCTAAATTTGTATATACCTATAGTTAGATAGGGCTTACGTTACGAAGAAAATAATTAGAACATTGATAATTGCAATATTTGACACACTTTTCGTGACAACTATTTATTTGTATTTTTATTTAGATTTTTTTAAACAAATTTTTCTCTTTTGACTATTGTATTAGTATGTCTTTATACGATAACTTTTTACAAATAACATTGGAATATAGCTAATGGTCTTTTGACTTCTATATAAACGCATTGATTAACTAGTATATACGTTCATGGGTCGTAATTATCTTTTTGTTACGGTCTACACTTGTGCATATTTATACGAGGACACGTACATTATCTCAAAATTATTCTCTACTGCGTTTGCGACCTAGTTTGACGATAGGAAAATACCACGTATTTTACAAATATCTCACAAGTTTTCGAAATATTGCTTTCAGAGATTTTTCCATGTACGTTTGAGAATGTGAAGATTGTTGAAAATTGCATCCATAGGCAATCACTGCATTACGTAACAAGAGTAATTTTTTGTTTTATGTTTTGCGCCTTTTATTACTCAGCGCATACAGCCTTTTTTTCTTCAATAATCCCTTTTAATTTGATAATTATGGCTTCGCAATTATTGTGTAGCGATTCAGTATATGTAATTTATTCGATGAGTTATAAATATTATTAACTATTTAATTCTTATTAATTTAATTATTGAATATGATTTGAACCTATAAATATTTTTCAACATTATTAGCATGATCTTTTAACCCTTACAGAAATGTAATGAGTAATGACTGGGCCTGAAAGAAGCACCGAATAATTATTAGAGTTCAGCACTTGAATCATTAGAAATTACTGATGTACGTACAGTAATTTTCTAGTAATTATTTCGCTTACACTTCTGTAAGGAAATACTTATGTTATGTACGTTATTACGTATGTTGCTGTGTAAGTAACAATACTTTGATGCAATTTTCACATTCTCAAACGTATGTATAATGAACAAAATTATGAATCGTTATGATTGCGTTATGTAACGTCAATTGCATTTTATAACAATCTTCATATGAGCGAAGGAAACTGAAAATAAAATTATATAAATGCTGTGTGACGTGTTTTTTACGCACGCGTATTTCACGCATTATATAATATTGGATAATTGATTCTTAAGGCGTTAACAATTGTGGTGTTATATAATAATTATTTCTAAATTTGTAATAAAATTATATCTTGATTATCGGTGAAAAATACATTTACAGCATTATTTACACTTAACTGGATATTCGCATTCGCGATATTTTAAGAAATGCATCATAGCATAATTATACAAGGATTTTCTCAAATTATAAAAATATTCCATTTACTCGGCATTCCCAGGACATTCGTGAGATTTCTGCGAAATATGCGTCGATTCATTCAATTCTTTTGACGCATCTTTTTCCTCGCTGCTCGCGTAATTAATTCACGGCGGAATGTGCTGTGACGGAAAGTCCTACGGTCTCTCGTAAATCCCCCGCCGTATTCTCGTGCGTAATACAGTATACCTAATACTAAAAAAAAACTTAAATTCTCAGAGGTAAGCTTAGTATTAATCAAGAAATAGAATTATTATGTAATTTTAGAAATGTAAAAAAAGTGGAATGAACTTCTACAAATTTACATGCGTCATAACGTCCACGGTACGACGTCCGATATAATGGCTCAGACAGGAAGTACAATATGGTGGGGTGTACGCTCTTACACCTTAAAAGCCTTACGTGCAATGAGAAAAAGCCAGTAGTAAATTAATCCTTACAATCGGTAGTTCGACAGAACACCGGCACTTTTTTGTGGGTGCCATTGTTAATAAAACACCGAAGATTGTAATCTCTCTGAAGAATACGGACAGATCGTACATCAAAAACACGTATGTGTGTTAATTTCTACAGTTTCTAAAATATTTACAATTAGAATCACAATTAAATATGCACTTAATAGAATACCAAGCTAGAATTTAGATACACGATACTGTAGCTGTAGCCATAAAAATACTATTTCTCGTGCTAATAATTAAAGATAACATTAGAATAAAATATCTCCATTTTAATTTATTGTATAACGTACATAGATAAATATAAAAATTGTCAAATCTCGGATTCTTGAAAATGTCCTATTAATCAATATTTATAAATATTGATAAATCTAGCTGCCAGCCTAATTGCATTATACTTGCAGATTAGGTACCAACAATGGTCTCGTTTCACATTTTCGACAATTATCTATTAATTGCTGTTATCGGTTTAAACATCATTCTGAGCGGAGCTCAACGTTCTGAGCTTAAATTAGTTAATGTGGTAAGTGTCGATACTATTATTAATATAATTAAACACACGCGCGCGCACACGTACAAACTCCTTTGTCTCTTTTTCCGCTCTAATTTAATTTTTATATTGTTTTCTAGATTGTTATCTGCGATTGCTGCGTTTTAATAATTATTTTTATTCTTTTGTAGGTATTCAGACATGGCGATCGAACACCCGATAACAACGGTCGCGAGATGTTTCCGAAAGATCCATATATAAATTATTCCTTTTATCCGACAGGCCTCGGACAATTGACCGTAGTAAGTACGACACGTAATCGCCCAGAATGAATTTTTTCTATGAAAAAAAATTGACATTTATTAAAAAAATGTAATCCTGGTAAAACTTTTACGATGCCACACAGCTAATTATGTCTTCTTCTAATAAATTCTTTTCCTGTTTTTAAAATCGATTGGATCGACAGATTATTTGATAATTAATTGATCGAATTTATCTGATTATTTACAGGAGGGCAAGAAGCATGAATACAGACTGGGAAAATTTTTGCGCTCTAGATACAATGACTTCCTTGGAGGTTTGTACACGCCAAAATTAGTCGTGGCTCGTAGCTCGGATTTTGAAAGAACAAAAATGTCGCTGCAACTTGTCCTCGCCAGCTTATTCCCACCGAGAAATGTACAACGATGGAATCCAGTTTTAAACTGGCAACCGATCCCGGCATCGTACACACCACGTGTCGACGATAACATTATTTTAGCCGACGAGTGTCCGCAGTAAGTATAACAAGAAGCAAATAATACAATCGAATAAAACGAGAAATTAATCCAAATAGAACATCAATGTCTTATGTTATCTCTAATTATATTTAGGATATAACGAGCATATTATCTTAAAATTAATTTTTTTATATACATATCTAAAAATTAATATAAAAAAGATAACTTGATCTACGTTTAAACATTGTTTCCAGGTACCTCGAAGAATACAACCGAATATTAAATTCACCCGATGGGCAAGCAACAATCGGTCAATTCAAGGACTTGATGGGCAATTTGACGAAGCTAACTGGCAAGAAAATAGAAACACTAGAGGAGCTTTATTTTCTTTATCACACTTTCGTAGCTGAAACCTCCCTGGGATTACCACTTCCCGAATGGGTTTATGATTATTTTCCTTATGGACCACTGTTCGATGGAATTGTGGCTTCGTACAATATGAGTAATTTTACTCCTTTATTAAGAAGACTATATGCCGGTAAGTTACGTTTATCTTAACGGAAACAATTCTAACAAAATTTCGTTGTTCAATAATATATAAATCAATAGTTTTTAGGCATACATGTATTAATAATTACATGAAAATCAATTTATATCAATTGAATATACATATAACTCCACAAAAATTTTTTTAATCAAAATTATGCAAATCTTATAAATAATTTTAATGTAAAAAGAAGCAATTATATCTGATGTAGAATTTACAAATTAAATTTGCTATAAAACTTTGGTTCATTACAAATGTGACAGATTCTTCAACAATTAAATCACAGCTCCATGTAAAAGTTCCTTATTATAATATCATTACGACAAACCTTTGCTCTGTCGCAGGTCCAATGATCCGTGCCATGACGGACAATATGATTGCTGCACAAAATCCAACCGCTGCGCCGAACACGAAGGTTTATTTATACAGTGGTCACGAAACCAACATTGCCGGTATGTTGCACGCGTTTGGTGTGTATAAGCCGCATGTACCCGAGTATTCTAGCGCAGTTATTCTGGAATTGCAACAGATCGCACAAGAGTATTATGTAAAGGTAAGAATCTTAGCAAACTACATTTTATTGTGTGCTTTAGTTAATGGCGAAAAAATTAATGATTTTTAACGTATATTATATGAAATATTTTTTCAGCTCGTGTATTATCGAGGCATCCCGCCCACTATGAAAGATCTTAAAATCCCAGGTTGTGACGTATTGTGTCCCTTCGATAAATATTTGGATCTAATTGAAGATTTGATTCCGTCTGACGAGGAAATGTTTTGTGATAAGAGACAGACTCCGAGTTTCTCCGATACGGAATATCCTGCTGGCATGCAGTCGGCTTTGGAGAATATAATTAGGAAAGTGATGTCTTCGAGAAGCGGGGAGAACATTCAGCGATAATGCGCGTGCTCCCGCGTGCCTTGTTTACTGGCTAATAAATGTCTAGAAAATCGTGAATGTTGCACTGTGCCATGAATATTATAAGATTTTTCCATTTTTTCCGAAATCATTTTCTTTCAAGTTTATTTATTCATTTGTCATTAAATATACACGTAAAATGTTTACGTGACCCTGAGGCTCATTATTGATATGTATATGATTCAATAAGGCAGATGAAGCAAAACATCTCTCTTACTAAATTGTAAAAGTTTAATTTTTAAAGAATTAGGATTAAGCCTAAAATTTATGGATCTATTGTTCCTTTACATCGTTTACGTCAAGTATGTCTTTGTACATACATTTGTGTTCTTTTGTCTATTTTGTTCAGATGGTGGGAGTCACTTTAATATACATGTAAGTGACGTATTATGCTTTTTGCAAATTTGTGTACAGCATAACATATAAATATATGAAAAATACGAATAAAATACAATGAGAAATAACTAGATGGATAAAAAATATCACGTCTTAAGAGAAGTATCATAATTCATTACACAAAGCGAGTCCTTTTGTACTTCCTCTCCTATTATTTTATATATTTTTTTCCTCTAATTTTTAATTCGTCCCCGATTCCCGGAAAGAACATTCCATTAATGTATGCAAATTTTGTTTTTAAACTATATGTTTCGGTAGAATTATAATTATTGAAAATATAATTGGGCGAGCGTGGTGTAGATAAATGTACGCTGATCAGTAAACAAATAAACAAAAAGACCCCGAGTTCAAATCCAACCGAGAACACCGCTGGTTTTTCTTGGACGGATTTTAATCAAATACCACCTTCTCGGAGACAACCACCGAAAAGTGTTTAATATCTCTCAGTGTTGGAAGTAACTCATTGCTTATAACGAAGTTAAAGTTACAGTTACTTTTTTGGCAACTCTAATTAACTGTAACTGTAACGCGTTACTTTTCAGTACTTTTTGGTAACTTGTAATTATAACTAGTTGCGTTTTTAGCGAAAAAACTTTCTGACTGGGGATGTAAATGAGCTATCTCTTTATCATGAACGGAAGAGCATAATATTTTATGCAATAATTTTACACCTGTTTACACGAAACTCGTTTTTATCAGTTTATCGCTACGACGGCATTTATCATTCTCGAAGGGGAATTAACTATATAAGCCTAATGACATTACTTCAACAGATTATATTTATTGAACATTAGGTGCCAGCAACATGGTCTCGTTCCTCTACAATTATTTGTCAATTATTCTAGTCGTCGGCTTCAACGCTATTCTACTCGCAGACGCGAAACCTGAACTTAAATTAGTAAATGTGGTAAGTGCCATTCCTTGTCAATAATCGATTTCAGTATTTTATAAATGTTAAGTCTAATTGTTATGGACTTTTATTGTATTAGGTTTAAACGTTTCGTCCCACTAAGGCTGCGTTCAAAAACACCACCCGAGTACCCCAGAGTATCATTTTATCCTTGTTTAACATACGGTGAGCAACAAGGATAGAATAATACGCTGGGGTACTCGGGTGGTGTTTCTGAACGCAGTCTAAATATTAACATTGTATTTTCATACAGGTATTTAGGCATGGCGATCGGACACCTGATAATAACGGACACGAAATGTATCCGAATGATCCCTATTTAAATTATTCCTTCTACCCGGAAGGTTTAGGACAATTGACCAATGTAAGTACAGTGTAACGACGCTTTCTTCCGAATAATTCTCCGAAAAAAGCGACATCGTGAGAAGGATGAATTAAAATAAAATTAATTTCTATAAAACTGAATGGTTAAATTTTGAATTGTAAATTAATTTTAAAAATTCGTGATATTGTAGAGTTAGCACTTAAATATAGAGGTGATAGAAAGTTCTTACATACGTTCCAATCGTAATATGATCTAAGATTGATTAATATATTTTAATAATTAATGCAATTTTCTAGCAAGGGAAGATGCGCGAGTATCAATTAGGAATAGCTTTGGGTCACAGGTACAAAGAATTTCTGGGAAAACTGTACCTGCCAAAACTCGTTCAGGGTCACAGTTCGGATTATGATAGAACGAAAATGTCTCTGCAACTCGTTCTCGCCGCCTTGTTTCCGCCAATAAATGTTCGACAACGGTGGAATCCTGCGTTAAATTGGCAACCAATTCCAACGACATATATACCACGTATTGACGATAATTTCTTCTCAGGTGATGAGTGCCCACAGTAAGCATGATTAATATTAGCAAAAAATAAATAAAACGACGAACAATAAACTGTTTAAAGAATTCGTGTAAGTTCTTTGATATAGAGCTCGGCAAATAGAGAACATAAAAAATATTTAAACAAATGACAGAAAACCAACTAACTTTAATTAAAGTAAGATTGTAATATATCGTAAATGATAAAGATGATTGCAAAATATACATATCTTAAAACTTGAAAATTTCACGAATAAAGAGATTTAAATTTGAGATTATTTTCAGGTATCTCAACGAGTATGATCGAGTGTTAGAATTACCCGAAACGAAAACGAAAATGTCACAATTCAAAGACATGATGAATAAATTGACAACGTTAACCGGCAAGAAGATCGAGAAGCCTCTGGATTTATATTATTTGTATCACACTTTCGTAGCAGAATCATCTATGAAACTGACTCTTCCTAAATGGGCGCATGAATATTTTCCGGACGGTCCACTATTCGATGCAACCGTGGCTGCATACAATATTTCAAATTCTACTCCTTTATTAAAGAGGTTGCATTCTGGTAAGAACTGTTCAACGGTTTTGTATAATTTAACGGTTATAACGTCTAAGATTTCTTAGATGTTAGACTCGTACTTATTTTTTATAGGTCCAATAATCAGCACGATGTTGATGAATATGCTAGCCGTGCAGAATCTGCATTTATCAAGCACAAAATTGTATTTATATGGCGGTCATGAAACTAACATCGCGGGATTATTGCACTCGTTTAATGTGTACGAGGCTCATGTACCTGAATACTCTAGCGCAGTTATTCTAGAATTGTTACAAGAAAACACGCAGTATTATGTAAAGGTAAGTTTAATATCAAATAGTTTATAAAATATCTTTGTAGATGATAACATAACTAAAAATAATTCTTTATTAAAAAGTAAGCGAATGTAAAATAAAAAATATGCTTATACCGTAAATATATTATTAATTTTCTAATGTTTAGAATCATTTTTTTTAAAACATTATAAGCATATGAAACAATTTGAATTATTTATTGATAAAAATACCTCACAAATTCAATTATTTATCCTGCGTAATAACTTTACAGCTTTTGCATTATCGAGGGATTCCACCGAGGATCGTCGAACTTACAATCCCAGGTTGCGAAACCCTTTGTCCTTTCAAGAAGTTCGTGGATCTAACTCGAGAATTGATTCCATCTTATGAAGAAATGGTTTGCGATAAGACACAGACCGCAGATTACGCAGATACAAAGAAACCTGCCGTCTGCATCATTGTTGGTTATCCCGGGCAATTTAATGGGAAAAATAGTACGACGTGCATTTTGTTGTAGATCAGACGACTTAAGGTTGAATTCTGATTGGCTCTCGTAAGCAATCCAGTAGGAAAAATAGTATCTAATTGTAACTAACTGTAACTTCGGTACAAGTAATGAGTTATTTTCCCAACGCTGGTCAGAACAACATAATTGTGCTATTCTAATTGTTATAAACACTGGTAAATATATAAAACAAAACATAATGATATAAATATACAGTACGGAAGCTTCCCAAATAGCACAAGATACTCCTATGGACATTTTCAGAATATTCTTCAAGAATATTTGAAATATTCTATAGGTCATTTTCTTAGACATTAACTTATATTCGAAAGAACGTTCGATTAATTGGCACTACTATATATCGTTTTCGAATGTGAATAATCTATCAAGTATAGCATGTCGGTTAAATTATATATAGTATGATCACAGGTTTCACTGCCTTTTGCATAAGATAAATGTAATACACAATAAACAACGTGCAATACATAAACTGGATGAATATTCTAAACATGTTCTTTTTCTTATGAATATACGATTTCTAATTGTAATAATCTGTGTATATTTGTCTGGCCCGATTGACTGCACGTTGCAATTGACCACATGTGGTAATATTGAAGAAGACTAGAGGTCTGTTTTAAATCTTCGCCTTACTAAATGAATGAGTCTACTATATATTAAAATTGAGTATCGGGACTGTGGTCAATTGCAACGTGGTCAATATCAACGTGGCCAAACGGGTACCACTCATTTTGTGCATAAAAGCTAATAAAAAAACTTACAAACGTATAAACTACATATATTTGACTGTGTAGTTAAAACAGATAACCGAGGGATCCTCTTAAGCACTATTGAGTATGATTAAAACTTGGATGGGTGACCGCGACTTTACGGTTCTTCACACACGGCCATGAAAATGTTAGCTCCTATGATCTTTCAAATCTGGAATTCGTATATGAATTTTTTTCTATATTATTAAGATGAATATACACAAAGTATTATTGCATATACATATATTATATTGCTATGTTGTTGTAATATTACATTATAATATTTCTGCAGGCGGACATTTTACCATTGCAGCAATATTTTGCATCATTTAGGTAATGTTACAATCTTGCCGCAAAATGTTGCTACAATATTGCTGAAATTTTGCTTTGCTATGGGTATTTTAATATTTTTATACAACGTGCACACACACACACACATACATATACATATGTGCTACATAAAATTGACGCAACTAAATTTATAAATCAAAATCTGGCGGTGCAAACTTGAGGCAAGTAATATATTTCATTCTGCTCAATATTGTTTATACAAATGATTTAATGTATATTGGTTTAAGTCACGACGGATTTTCCTAGCACCCGGAAGTTACTTTACCTGTTTTTGTATTAAAAAAATAATCGATTTTATTTTCCGTATTAAAATAAAATATTTAAAGGTTTTTTATTTTTATATTTCTTTCAATGCAACTTCGTGCATTTATTTTATGTTTGATGCAAATGAGCTATCTCTTTATCATGAACGAAAGAGTATAATATTTTATGCAATAATTTTACACCTGTTTACACGAAACTCGTTTTTATTATAGTTTATCGCTGCGACGGCATTTATCATTCTCGAAGGAGAAGTAACTATATAAGCCTAATATGGCATTACTCCAATAGATTAGGTGCCAGCAACATGGTCTCGTTCCTCTACAATTATTTGTCAATTAGTCTAGTCATCGGCTTAAACGTATTCTACTCGCAGACGCGAAACCTGAACTTAAGTTAGTAAATGTGGTAAGTGCCATTCCTTGTCAATAATCGATTTCAGTATTTTATAAATGTTAAATCTAATTATTTTGAAATTTTATTGTAATAGATTTAAACGTTTCGTCCCACTAATTACACTGGTCAACAACAAAAATGCTTCGACGACGGGATCAGTCAATCTTTACTAATTTGGGTGCGCTGAATCCGAATATGTTCGTGAAAATTGTTCATTGGCTCTACTTTCAAAGATATAAGCAGTTAAAACCTCCGAAAAACGCTATTTTGGCTGTTTTTGGTCGAGTGTAACTTTTCAACGGAACATGATAAATGATTCGCAAACGTTTCAAAAGATATCTTCTACTTTATCAAGAATGGATTCAATATTTTGACATTTCTGCTCAGGACTTTTTACTTCAATTTTTGTGATCGGACGCGCTACGCTGCTATTATAGATACCGCAATGTGGCGCCTACCCAGATAACATGCATGTCTAAAAGACATCTTTAAGACGTCTTTAACACGTCTTTTAGACATCTTTTAGACATACACGTCTAAAAGATATCTTAAAGACGTGTTAAAGACGTCTTAAAGATGTTTTTTTAGACATGCATGTTATCTGGGTAGCAGCGTAACGCGCCCACTCACAAAAATTGAAGTAAAAAGTCCTGAGCAGAAATGTCAAAATATTGAATCCATTCTTGATAAAGTAGAAGATATAAGCTTTCTTTTGAGATGTTTGCGAATCATTTATCATGTTCCGTTGAAAAGTTACACTCGACCGAAAACAGCCAAAATAGCGTTTTTTGGAGGTTTTAACTGCATATATCTTTGAAAGTAGAGCCATAGAGCCAATGAACAATTTTCGCGAACATATTCGGATTCAGCGCGCCCAAATTAGTAAAGATTGACTGATTTCGTTTCCGAAGCAGAAAATGAGTCCAAATTTGTTGACTAGTGTTATTAACATTCTATTTTCATACAGGTATTTAGGCATGGCGATCGGACACCTG